CCTAACCCAGGCAGACGTCAAATCATCATCCCGAGCAACGTGATTTTCCCCAAGGCTGCCGAATTATCAACTCCGAATGTGCAGGGCAGACATAACCCAACATTGAAATAGATTGACAATTTCAAGGCTTGGAAAGTTTGGGATTGATAATATTATAGCCATGCCTTTCTTGTACTATTCATACAGTTAGCAGTTCCAAATCTATAAGCCAGCACTCAAAAAATGATCAATGGGTAGACGGGTGGCCCGACAACGAAGTGGCAGTATATAGTAACTAAACCAGTGTCCAAGCATTTGTTTGAACTACTAGTACTACTAGTAGCACCTATGAGCTACACTAGGGCAATAAGTAGGAGATTCTTGTATCTTATCATGAAGATGAAGTACCTATATCTGAATTGGAGGGCCGTTCACATAGCAAACAGCTGTCCTTGTAGACAGAGTGGCCCAACATCGCCTAAGGCCCCCGGTTTTGATAGAATTGTCAAAAAAAGAGCCTTCTCAGAGAGAGCAGATAGTGTTATGCAAGCAAAAAATGACAAGAGTGGGATTCGAACCCACGCCCCTTTCGAGACACGGAAATCTATAGAAGATCTCAGAGGATCAGGTAAACCTGAACCGTGCGCCTTAGACCGCTCGGCCATCTTGCCAATTGGATGAAAAGAGCGGAAGATTTTGGCTTCATGAAAGGAAGCACTGGCGACTTGTGAATATGGATTCGTTAAGCATGAATAGATCTGGAAATATAGTTGATTTATACACATTCGGAATGCTGATCGTCAACTTGAAGCCAAGGAATTTATTTACTAATAGTACTATATCTCTCCAGCATACCATCCCATTTAAGAACCCCGATATGTAGAGTAGTTCCAGGGGCCTAGCAGTACCGGGACGTGGTAATGGCGCCAGCCCTCCTCGCCCTCGCGGCCACGACCCTTCACGGTAAATTTGACCTCGACCTCGGGCCAGAAGCTCTCAATTCCCTGGGCCTCATACCAGGGTCCGACCTCAAAGCGCACCGACCAGTTGGTCTTGCTATCAGCGGTGGGTAGTGCAGACAGAATCTCGGGAACTGAAGTGGATGCGCCGCCGGTGGGTGTCCACTTGCCTACACGGCCATCGGCATTGGTAGTGGCGTGGTAGGTGACGGGGCTGGAGGCAGAAGCCGGGGCGGACAACAGAGTTAATGTCACAGGGAGGTTCGCAGCCGGAGTACCGGTCAGAGTATTGAGGCAATGGCAAGTAATGGGGTCACGCGCGGCCATGGTGACGGGTGGTTGTTGTTGTTGGTGGGATGTTCCGGCGGAAGAGTTGAGCTGTTGTTGGACTTGGGCGAGGCGATTGGTGGTGCGACCCTGTTCAGTTTCACGGCGCGAAGTGTCCATCCAGATACCTAGACGAGAGAGGTAGAGATATAAGAGGAGGAAGGGATGTTTTTAGGATAGATGAGAGAAAGGAAAAGGGAAAAAAAAAGAAAATCGCGGGGGAGCTGCGTCGCCATTTCTATGGACCGTCGCATCGGAGGGCACCGATAGATGCGGAGGATGCCATGGACGAGAAGACCGGTGGAGCTCAACTCACCTCAATCGGATAGAACCTCTTATTTGGACACTAAGAACAGAATGGTAGTCATCCCAATCGACAGGTCTTGCATTTTAACGAATAAATTATAGATGGCATGATCTGCCTACTGTCCCATAGAGTGGTCACTGCCAGAATGCCTTGAATACGCAAGTAAACCCTGAAGAGCATAGTATTGGTTAATTTATCACTGATTAGAATTAACAAACCTGGAATTTCCCATTAAGCAGCCTCTACGAAGTACTGCCGAATGAAATAAAGAACAAATATGACCCCCCAACCAGAATCAATATCAAGGGTGGCCACCTGGCTAGACTTCCCGAAGATTCGCTCGGTTTGCGGGGCAAATCATCATTTTTGAATGTCAACTCCAACTCCAACTCCTCCATCACCCCCGACCTCCACCCCTCCACCACACCTCGAAAATGTCCTCCGCAGTCGTCCATGGCGACGATCTCGATATGGAGCCCACGCTCCAGTCGATCCTAAACCAGAATACCCTCCGCTGGATCTTCGTCGGAGGTAAAGGAGGTGTGGGTAAAACCACCACCTCGTGCTCCCTCGCCATCCAGCTCGCCAAAGTCCGCAAATCCGTCCTCCTTATCTCCACTGACCCCGCGCACAACTTGAGTGATGCTTTTGGCCAGAAGTTTGGAAAGGAGGCCCGCCTCATCGATGGCTATACCAACCTCAGCGCCATGGAGATCGACCCCAACGGTAGCATCCAGGATCTCTTGGCTAATGGTGAAGGTCAAGGTGAAGACCCCATGGCCGGCATGGGCATGGGAAACATGATGCAAGACCTGGCATTTAGCGTGAGTCCCATCTATGCCTTCCACCCCGCATGGAAGATGCCGGAAAGTCGCTAACGAACAATGTCTACGCGTAGATCCCCGGTGTTGACGAAGCCATGTCTTTCGCCGAGGTCCTGAAGCAAGTCAAGTCACTCTCCTACGAGACTATCGTGTTCGATACCGCACCAACCGGCCACACGCTACGTTTCCTCCAGTTCCCCACCGTGCTGGAGAAGGCCCTGGCTAAGCTCTCCCAACTGTCAACGCAATTCGGCCCGATGCTGAACTCGATTCTCGGCGCGCGCGGCGGTCTGCCGGGTGGACAGAACATGGACGAGTTGTTACAAAAGATGGAATCTCTGCGCGAGACTATTAGTGAGGTGAACACACAGTTCAAGAACCCGGATATGACCACCTTTGTCTGCGTTTGTATCGCGGAGTTCCTGTCGCTCTATGAGACCGAGCGAATGATCCAGGAATTAACTAGCTACAACATTGATACCCACTCGATTGTCGTCAACCAGCTGCTGTTCCCTAAGGACGGAAGTAGCTGTGACCAGTGCAATGCTCGCCGGAAGATGCAGAAGAAGTACCTGGAGCAAATTGAGGAACTATATGAGGACTTCAACGTGGTCCGCATGCCGCTATTGGTTGAGGAGGTCCGCGGCAAGGAGAAACTGGAAAAGTAAGTGGATTTTGGTGATTGTTGATTTTGAGTGCCACCCGGACTAACCGAATCTTCTTTTTCTTGCGATATAGGTTCAGCGACATGCTGGTGCACCCTTATGTTCCTCCTCAGTAAAGGGAATGATTGAGAGAAGTGACGATATGTAACCGCATTAATTTGCACGATGAATGATGAAAGACTAGAGAATAATACATGACACACCCGTTATTCTTTTACTTGCATTGCGCCCATGGAGAATCTCGACTGACACCTCTTGGTGTACATATCATATGTGTATATTGAATTTCCTTTTAACGAGATGTGCACATACCTGTAACTGCAACGACCAGCCCTACCGGCAATTGATGTCATGCACGTCCCATCACATCTACGAGTACTCTGGCCGGATATGAAACCTAAATCCCTCAAAATCCATGATCATCCCTCGGTGAACCGTTCAGATTGCAAGTATTGACTTGAACTTGAATGTGCTTCCAACAATTTGAGATATTGCTGCCGGGCTATTGGTGGTAATGATTATCACGTAGATGTTATGCACTGTTCAGCGGATGGGCATCAGCAAATGTAGAGAGAACAGACCAAGCAGAGGGATTAGACAATATTGATAGTCGATTCCAATTGAAACTGAGATTCCATTTATAGGCCGGACCCCAGAAAGTAGCAGCTGCTGGGAACCTTTCGTATCTGATGTTGGCTGCGTCACACCTGCACTGCACGGGAACTAGACTCATCCAACATTAGTCTGGATTGCATCTGCCATGTGTTCGGCATCGAACAGCAAGACCAAACGCAACCCGGGAAACTCTCTTTGTCCAAAAAATGCAAGATGCAGATATGCCAACTGCAGCGTGGTTTGGGCCCCACGGCCAGATTCGTGTTCATGGTGCCACGACATCACCGCAGCAAGAGACCAATTTGGCGCTGCAGCGAAAGAAAGGTGCGGTGAGGCCACGGTATTAATGGTACACCGAGAATCTTGAGCAAAGTTCTATCCACCGTGCACTGTCTATACGCAATTGGGAGGGCTTTGAGGGGGGTTACGGTGTGCTTGCAAGACCCTGAATTAGGTGTGCTGCGTTGTTCTCTGCAGTTGCCCACTGATTTCGACTGGCTCCCCCCAGCCTCACTTTTATCCTTGGCCGAAGCCCAGGCTGTTGGAAGCACAGACTGATTATGGCTGGCATGATCGATTCTTATATTAAATTAAAACCGAAAAGGGAGCAGGAAAAAAAAAGGGTTGGACCTCGTTAGCAGATGGAAGTGAGGCGGACACATCGTGCGCCCCCCTCCTCGCCGTTTTTGTCTTGATTCTCGCCTCCCCGAGGATTCCGACGGAGACCCATTGCCTGCTGGAAAGTTGGAGACATTGGGACTGGTTCGTTCCTGGGCGGAATCGCGCGACCTATTGTCTTCCTGCTGTGCACTTTACCATCACCTGCCCGGGTCCGTGGAGAAGGATGTCGGGATATTTGCCTGGTCGCATTAGCTTAGAGCCATCTTCTATTTGTTAGGTTGAGGTTGAGAATCTGGTGGATCTGGCAATTTTTTTGTCCTTTGACGAAAATGTACAGGTTGAGGTTGTGAGATCATCGTTGGCCCCTCCATAGGTTTGTGGTTGATGGACTGCAGCCCGGCTGAGGCTTGTCTCATTCGTCTCTTTTAGAAGGAGGGTTGCTCTTCCTTCACCACAAGGAGGGGTTCGATGACTGGATAGAACCCCCCGGTTATTTAAACCCCATGTGCGATCCTCCGAGCTGTAGATTGAGAAAAGTAGAAGATATCAAAGTCTTCCGCCAGTATCTGGCTCTGGCTTCACCGTGCTGCGTCGACTCTGATCCCACCCTCTTCGAAGTTGCAGTCCCTATGCCCAAGCCAATACACCCCATGCACACAAGTACTATATATCAGATAAATTTTTTTTTTACCGCGCGTCCGAGATGTCACGAGTTCAACAATACTGGCTGCCGGGATATGGGCTATCCCGACATATCGTCCTCGGGCACATCCACTACTTTCTCGGCCCCTCTGCATCAGTCAGACCATATAGTTATCAGGTACATTGGATTTTTAATCACCCACTATGATTCATGTTAAACGATTCTAACTAGATATCTATATTGATTTAAAGGGGCGCGAAGGTTACCTCATCGTCGGGGTACCGATTACACGGGTCTGTCTGCATCGCAGGAAAGCAGCAGACTGAATGGGAGCTGACTCACTTCGCCATAGGAACAAATCGAAGACCTTGCAACCATGTCTAGAGAATATGAGAAACAGGAAGCCTTGCGGATGACGCATCAAAATGGTTCTGGAAACGGCAATGGCAGCAGAAATGGAAATGGCAACGGAAGTGGACAGTCTGGAGAGCCGTATATCAACGAAATCATTCCGGTGGATTCATCAAGACCTCGAAGACGCCCCGTGGAGCCGGACTCCAGAAGTGGTCGTTGAGATGAAGATTATTTCCCAGGGTTCTGTTGTCCTGCCGGAGCCGACGCTTGCTGCCCAGGCGAGCCATCGGATGGATATTCGCGGCCATTTTCTTCTCTCACATCCCATGGAAATCCTCCTCGAAGAACGGGGATTTTTGTTATATTTTCCACTGGGTGACAAAGTCGTTTTATCTCCAATGCATTCGGTCTGCTTCCCAGGAACGCCAATCCCCGGACGTTCAAATGGAAAGCCATTCCCGGATGTTAGGTCCAAAGGCCCATTTCATTCCACGGGCTTTGGAAACTTGGAATTTACTGATTGAGTACCTGGACTGCCAACATGAACTGCATTGGACACTGAGCCGTAGAGGCGAAAAGTCGACGGACATATTTTCGGGCAATTTTCTTTCAATATACCCCCTTGGCTGTTTTTGTTACTCTGCGACCGGAGCTCTCAGATATGACTTATTTCGGAACATTAGAAGTTTGCAACTGCTTTCAGTGGGCTTGAAGCCTATGACTCCGAGTCCTCGCTTCATTAGAACTGATATCATCGCTTTCTTTACTATTGCATTCTTCATATTTCTTTTTACAAGGCAACGTAAGGGAAAAAATCTTGTCAGACATCATTTTCACTCATCTCTATAGACCATTCGTAACAGCATAGATCCATCAGACGTTCGGGTATACCCCGAACATGTCTTCTACATAAACCCCAGTCGCTTTTCTTTTCAGGCGCGGGAGGAAGAGCGCCGTAAGCCCCTCGTGGTTTCTTTTAGACCTCCCCTTCTCTGCAAAAGACCTTCGAAGGTCTTCCTTTGCACACAAGAAAAATAATAAAAAAGACCAAAGCGAAAAAAGTATCTGACGACAGAGAAAGGGAGAAATATAGGGAAATGGAAAGAGACTGTGGACTAAGGAGGTTAAAAGATAAAAGGGAAAATCAAAAAGGTGGACCACCGAAGAACGCCAGCCGGATGCCACTCTGCGCGGAGTCCCCATTCTCCTTCGAAGAACCGTGTTGTGACATACACGGGGAGATCACTATGGGCTGGCAGAAAACAGGGTTGATAATAACAATGAAGAAATCGGTTTTGGCATCAGCTCATGGGGGGAGTAAATCATTTCGCAACAGCGGAGCTGTGAATATGTTAGTATTTTTGGATCTTCATATGATGAACTCGGCGATGGCACAAGGCTTACCTCAGGACTTGAGTCCGGAAGAAGGCACCCTTTGTCTTCTCAATGACCTGTTGGTACACCGATTGCGGTGGGTGGTTCATGATAACGGTGCCCTCCTGGTAGTCGATCTTGGCATCGACACGGGTGTCGCGGATCAGGTTGACGATCCACTTCTCACCCTCGTCCTGGCTGAGACCCAGGCGAGAGGACAGGTCCCTATCAATGAGGTTAGATATCATGTGACTTGCTTTGATGCTGATTCCTTCAGCCCCGCCTCCTAAAAAAAAGACTTACTTAATGTCGATCCGCTGGTGGATCTTGCAGTAGCTCTCAGAGATGAGGTGACGGGCAGACTCAACGAAGTTGTCCGCAGCAGACACAAGGAAGAAATCGCTGCGCAGAACATCCTCGGCCTCGCCCAGCTTCTTTTGGGCCTCCTCGAAGTCGAAGTCGACGTAGAGAGCCTTGACGAAGTCGAGGATGGGGTCGGTGTACTCGTAATCCTCCTGGCGCACCACACGGATCAGGTCTTTCAATTGCTTCTGGTAGATACCGTTGTGCTTATGGGGGCGGCTGCGGTTGGTGATGACGGCCGCGGCGAGGTAACGGAGGACCCAGGGGCAGCTGGTCTGGATGGTGTTGATGTAGGCGGGGGAGAAGAAGAGGTCGGTCAGGACGTCACGAGCGGCGTCGTGGTTGAAGAAAGGGAAGAGAGACCAGTGGATCAACCAGGAGCGGTTGGTGAGTTGGGCCAGAGGGTTGTTGAACAGACGGGTCTCGATAGAGTCCTTGACCTTCTGCACCTCCTCCATGGCACCCTCCCAGTTGGTGGTCAGAATCTCGGAAGCCAGGCGACCCCAGGTGGCGGAGGCAACCTTGTCGTTGTCGGTAGACAGCACACGGAACTGGTAGAGCAGCTCAGCGGCATTGCCGTAAGAGCCACAGCTGTACTGGAACCGGCCGTAGTCGTACAGGCTGTTAACCATCTCGTTGGTGACACCGTGCTGTTCCTCGAGGAAGCGCAAGTTGGCAGCCTTGTCGCTGCGCAGGTTGCCCACCACCTCATCATCCTGCAGAAGTTCAGAGATCTTCTCGCTCTGGTCCTGGTAGTGTTGCAGCTTGGCCAGAACCCCCTCGCGCTTCTTGACAAATTCGTCGGGAATCGAATCGGAGTTGTTGATTTCCTGCCACAGGTTGGCGACGTAGTCGGTCATGTTGGTGTGCTTGAGCAGCTCGTATTTGGCGCGAGTAATCTCATTGTCGTCCTCATCGTTGCCGGCGCTGAATTCGAGCAGCGGGAAAACCAAGTGGCGGTCGAGATAGGGGATCAGGCGGGGTAGAAGGTCGTACTGAGGAGCGACGTCGGTGGGCTGAGCGCCGCTGAGCATTTCGGCGGAGGGAGGGGCGTTGGCAGCCATGATGGATGGTTCAAAGACACGGTCTTTTCCCTCTTGTTGAGTCGACGCTTTGAATTTCACACAAATTGTGTGCGGGAGGGTCACCGCGCGCTAAGCCCCTTTGGGATATAGGGCGGTGAATCTGGCAGAATGCGCGCCAGAAGAAACCTGCTTCTCCTCAGCGGCATCTGTTGATTTCCCCAGGTCGGTCTATCTTCTTTTCCCTCCACCTCCAGCTCTGCCCTTTCCAGACCCTGAAATGGCGTCGATTCGGCATTCGACTTCGGTCGCTTCGGCTGTGTGCAAGCAGACCACCAACGCCTGCGTGGCTCGGCCCGTGGCTTCCGTACAGACATACAGCCGGGCTGCTTCATTATCTTCTCCGGCACGATTTGCAGCTCGTAAGTTTGGATTCTCGCAATTCTTTGATTTCTCTCGGCAATACTGTGACAAGCATTAGAACATACTTTGCAATGGCCAAGGCCGCAAAGTATGCGGTGGTGGTTATCAACTACTCATCAGATATCATACCACCACGCGGTCATCTCACTCGAAATCTCGAAAAAATTTGGGAAAAACACTCTCTAATCAAGATTCTTCTTTTCAAATAGCTTCTCTCTTCCAGTCATCACAACGCCTGACCTCCATCTCCTCTTCTTCTCCCGTCACCCACCAAACCCGCACGTTCCTGACGCAACTCCGCCGTCAAGCGCAGGCCTTGAAAGAGCAAATCCCCTCGACTCCGACTATCCCCTCGACAGCCAAGTCCTCCAAGCCCGCTCCTACCCTCAAGCTCACCAACCTTCCCTACTTTGTTCGCCGCACTGGATCCAACCAGCTGCCCGTCTACGTTGTCACAAAAGCTGGTGGTACCAAGCAACTCACCAAGATCCAGAAGACGGAGGGTGACCTGGATACGTTGCGCACCGACCTGGCACATAGCCTAGGCGTGGACCCTCGTAGCCCTGATGTATCTATTAACCGTCTCACCGGTCATATCATCGTCAAGGTACTTTTTTCCCCCTCGGCTATGCCTTTATACCTGATAGATATAGCTATTGGTATATCGAGCAGCAGAACTAACATATCACTTCTCCTCCAGGGCTGGCGCAAACCCGAGATCGTGAAGTTCCTCAGCGAGCGTAACTTCTAAACAATACCATGCATTCGATCATACCTCTCGCCATACCGCGACTGAAACATGTCGCAGGTATCGCACTACCCGACTGAACGAAAGGATCGCGGCAGGAGCGCAAAGCATAGGAAACAAAAGCATGTGAAGAAGTGACGAAAGAACAAAAAGGAAAAAGCCTCAATCTGCGATTTGATGTGATTGCCCCGGGCCCTTGTTGGCCGGGTGGGTGAACGTTTCCCTTTCCTTCTTGATTCCCCTCTTCCCTTGGTGTATTTTTTAATCTCAATTCTGGGGTCATTTCTGATTTTTCTCGTTTTACCCTGCCGGTGTCCTGATTTTCTCCTCCTTTCTTTTTTTGTCTGGCCCTACGTTTCTGGCGCTTTCTTCTCTTTCTCTTTGATTTTCCCCTGTACTATTCCTATCTGTACAGTCTGATGAGATGTTGGGTGTAGACCCTGATTCTCCTAATTGAATGAATCCATGCATCGTCAACTTCCACTGGCCACAATTATTATACAGATGTACCGTGTCTGACTAGACTACATCAATCTATTACCAGATTGGTTTAGATATTCAGATCTCTCGTATTCAGTCGAGGGTATTTTGAGATTGTACACTGAAGAACAACATAGCTCGCTATCTCACATGGCAAAACAAAGGCAAGAAGAAAAAAAAGAATTCAAGAAGCACCCCCATTTCCACCGGCGCCCAAAAATACCAAGATTGACTGGGCCATCGCCCAGAGACATGAGTACAAATGACATGACAGAAACCAAAAGAAGAGAAAGATCGTCGTAGATGCAACGTGCATAGCAACCAATTGTCACCCGTGCATGAAAGTGTATGTTTTCCCTTTATCACGACTTACTCGGCGAGTCGAGCATAGCTGACGAGTTGACGGATGATATTCGGGTCCATGTTCGGAAGTAGCAAAGCCCCAAGAAGACTCTCTTTGCGAGGGGTGATCCCAGACGGGAAGCATAGAGAGGAGGATTTGTCCACTTGCTTGGACTTCTCGGCAAGGCGGCGCAGAATGGCCAGTCCACGATGAACAAGTGCTCCAAATGCATATGCTTCGGGTTCTTGTGCTCGTTGGCGCATGTTGATCTGGGGGATGCGGTCCGTGCATAGGGCGCAGGATAGTCGGAGGAGATGAATGGCGAAGCCATCCACAGACCCAAGCCATGATTTAGCCATGGGCCCATCCGCGAACGAAGTCAGCACATCGGCGGCCAAGAGACCCTGCAGAAGGAACACCTTGCGAGCATCCACGACTCCCAGGGCCTTGTTATGAGGAACGCAGGATATCGCAAGTCCAAATGCGCGCGTCAGGAGATCCGGCTGAGGCGGTGCAGATCCATCACCAGAGAAGATGGCAGCGAAGTAGGCCCGGTTAGGATCATCTCTTGCAAGTAGCTTGGCGAGACCGTCGACGGCAGCGGGGGTGTACCGGTGAATGGAGGGATTGAATTCCGAAAACATAGCTTGGCCTTGTTTTGAGGTGGCCTCGGGCAATGGTGAGAATGCTAGAAGGAAATGCAAAAGGCTCAACGCTTCATCCTTTCCGGGTATTTGCATGGAGTGGGCGAGGTTGCCCATGAAAACCACAGCATCTTTCATCAAGTTCAATGTGTTCTGATCACGTCGCAAGAACATCTTTCGAGTTCCAATATTCCGGAAGATATTAGCAAAGCATTGGGTGACTGCAGGCATTCCCAAAACTCCAAAATTCGATTCGCTGAAGGAGAAGTTGCGAAGAATGGTGGTAACACAGATGAGTCGCTCCACCGCTCGGTCAAGGTCATAATCAAGGCTTCCAAACTCAGGCACATCGGCAAGAGATGCGTGTTCAGAGTGGCAGCCTCTGACCACTTCCTCGTAAGAACGGAGAATAATCGTATCCGAGGACTCTGGGATGTTTTCAGCCAGGAAGTCTGCTTGGTCTTCAGCGCAGTCAACAAGACTCTCCACCAAATCATCACAGTTCTCAAGAGAGATTTGCACCTGTGGCTCACAAGAAAGAGTGGTCAGGGTATCGAGAGAGACGCGAATCTCGGAATGAATGCCTGACTTCAAACTCATGGTAAGAGCATGAATATCGATCACACCGAGCTCGGCAAAGCTTGGTGCTATTGGCCGAAGCCTTGAGATATCATCACCAATCTGGTACATCTCGTCCACTGCAATGGGCCCATGAAGACGTCTTTCTGTGAGAACCATGGGCTTGAACGGATCCTCTATTGGCTTTTTGACAAATTCTTCCATTTTTTGTGCTGGTTGCCGTGGTTGTGTTTTGGGGGTTGGCGGCGCGCCCTTTGATTGTTGTGAAGGGGAGGGCGCGGTGAATTGTCCCTCCGGCATAGGGGCTGGAGGCTGAGATGGGCGGGAAACACTAAGTCGTTGTCCAGACTGGGGAGGCTTGCTCTGGCTTCTGGCTTGTGTTGGCGTGGCGAAACCATTGGCCTGAGCAGCTTGAACATGATTGGCGACGGGAGTATTGTTTTGAGGAGAGTGATTAATTTGTTGAGGCTGTTCGAAGTTCTGACCTGGTTTGGCGGTGGGTGATTGAAACTGCTGCATGGCCGAAGGGTCGCTGGGCTGGCGAGGCATACCGCCCTGCTGCATCTGGTCGAACTGCTTCTGCTGCGAGCCGAGGTATGCTTGTTCGTACGGTGCCAAGTTCCGCTGGTGGTAGTCGCGCACCTCTTGTGCAGCTGAAGGAAATTGCATCTGAGGAAATTGAAGTTGCTGTGCAACTGCAGGCCACATATTCATCCCAGTCACCTTCTTGGACCCGCCCATCTTCATAACAGTTCCATAAAGCTGCACAAGGTTGATCGGGCGGCCGCAAATGACCGGGCTGGGGTCAAAGGGGAGGTTTCTGGACATCATGAACTTCTGTAGACCGCGCAGGAACATCTCAGGGTTGTTAGGTTTCGGCATGTTTTGTTGCATTTGACGGATGGCCGCCATCTGCTGAGGATTGGCCATAGCATTCATACCGCCGGGGCCAGGACGCCCGGCCATCTGAGGATTCATATTCATCTGCTGGTTTGGCATCTGTTGACCCGGCATCTGTTGACCCGGCATATGTTGACCCGGCATCTGTTGACCTTGCATTTGCTGCCCTGGCATTTGCTGACCTGGCATCTGCTGACCTGGCATCTGTTGCCCTTGGTTCTGCATTTGCATGGCGCGCAATCGTTGCTGCTGGGCGGCTATCGCTTGATGGTATTGATGTGGCATTTGTTGCATGCTATTGAGCTGCTGTGGCGGCATAGAGGGTTGTTGGCCTTGGTTCATCCCCGGAACTTGCTGGAATTGACCAGGCATACCCTGAGGGTATGCTTGCCCTGGCATGAAGTTGTTGTTCTGTGGGGTGTTCACACGGCTTCCATGGTCTGACTGTGACGGTGACATGTGTGAGCCGCCACCACCGCCAACATGTGGACCAGCTGGTGAGAAAGGACTTGGAGATGCCGTTCCCACCCGGACGCTTCCTTGATCAAAGTCTTGCTGCATGATAGGCGACTGTGTTACATTAGGCGACGCGGTCTGCTGTTGAAGGTGTTGATAAGGAGTAGGGTGTTGCGAAAACTGCGCTGCCCCATTGGTACCTCCCTGATATCCGGGATATGGAACTTGATGAGGAGTTTGCGATCGCGAACCATTCACGCCGCCAGGTCCTGGGCGCGGCGACATAGGCATCCCATCTTCCGGTCGAGGCCGCTTTGATGGAATCACTTGGTTGGGGTTGTGGAAGCCTGGCGAGGCATTCCGCGGCACGCCATTGTTGAACATGCGCTGGAACTGGTTAGGATCCTGAGGGGTCGACGAAGCATGGAGGAAAGCGGCCGAAGGGTCGATCGTTGAAGGATTAAAGGCCCCATTCTCCTGGCCAGGGATGTTCGAGGCGTCGGCGAGCCAGGCGTTCATGTCGTGCGATTCTACCAACCCATCTGTACAGGGAGACCCGGTCAGTAACACGCAAGGCAATGGGGGCGGCGCGCCATCATCGCGAATGGGCAGGATGACGCAAATATCATCTCAATCATCTAGAACGAATATGATCTGGATCGCCGATGATTTTCCCCGGCTATGCAAACGCGTCCGGTGGGGATGTTTAGGGTGTGCGCGCTCGGTCGCGACACGCTCCGGGGTGGCTCAGACGAAAGAAGGGAGATGAACCATCTCCCCCAAAGAGAAAGAGAAGGGAAGTGGGGGGCAAGGGAAGATAAAAAAGAAACAAGAAGAGATGTATACATACCGACAAGGCTAGATCACTGGAATTCCCGACTTGTGAGCGGATGGCTAAGCCCGGTATCCGGAATTAGCAGCTGGGGGTGGTGGTGGTGAGGTAGGAGTCTGGTCACGTGGTTTGGGGCCTGAGGCCACAAAAAGTACACCACGGCGTAGATGGGATGCCGGCCAGGCCAGAGCGTGAGGGGAGGGGGAGGGGAATGGGGGGGAAGGCTAGGCCAGTCAAGACTGGGGGGTGGGAACAAATCCGAAGCAACTGCTGATCTCTGAGGCCACGATAATGACTGTTTCGGGCCGAGCCAGAAAGGAGGGCAGACAGTGCGTCTGGACGAAAGGGGGGCAAGGGAGGGGGGGAACCCGTATGGGGGGGAACCAGGGAGTGGGGGGGAAGGGGATAGACGTGGTAATGGGCAGACCAAAAGAAAAATCAACGGTCGAATGGCGTACCTTGAAAAATGGCAAAGGCAAAAGCGCGCAGTTAGGGGAGCTCAAAGTGGCAGTGGAGAGTGGTAAGGATGGAAAAATCGCATACCGGAAGGGCCTTGCTCTGTCCGCCCCAACCCTTGCTGGACCGTTCCCGTATCACCTTAATACCGTACTGTATTTCCTAGTGCATCACCCGTTTCTGATTCTTTTTTGCTTTCTTTTTTTCCCTTTTGCTCTTGTGCCTTTAAGTTAGCTTTGACCATTCATTAGTGATTTTTTTTTTGGTTGGGTGGTTGGTTATCAGCCATATTGTGTACTATGGCTCGCCCTGACGTTAGTCACGGCTCTCGGCCGTCTTGCCTGTCTTGCCCCCCCTAATAAGAGTTGACATGCGAACATTGCGCCAGAAAACATCACATCACTCCCAAGGGAATATAAACTCTTTTTTTGTTTTCTCCCTTCCATGATTTTCGGAGGTCAGTTAAGGGATGGAAAGATCCGAAACTCGTCCCACGTTCGTAAAATAGCCAAAGGTCCATTTCAACGGTCTTCGCCCAGTCAGGTTAGTCTCTATAGTCCCCCCAAGTCGGGTAGAGCACCACTCCACTGGGTAGCCGTCGGTCGGCAGATCACATCGAGGAGAGCCATGAATGGAGTGATAGGAAGAGGGGGAAATATATCTATCGAGTTCAATCAGGGGGAGGGGAAGCGAATAAAATACTAGGGAAAGAGAAGGAGAGAGAGAAAGAAAGAGAAAAAAGGGCCCAGAATCAGGCACAGTGGTGGGCGTCGCTCACTATATAAAAGATCGGGCTAGCGTCTGATAATCATGACGAGCATCCAATCCTCCGACGGTCACCAACAGGAAAATTTCCAACAAGGGCAAGTCACAAAAAGCTAACCTAACCATAGATGAAGATTAACAGTCAACCCACCCCACCAAGAGTGGCCCAGGTTCCTCTCTCGCTCGTGCAAGGATCCGAGTCGATCCGCATGGGAAAATCGCGATGGTTCACTGTGCCTGTCCCACCTAACTGTGGCCCGGCTGGCTCCACCGATGTGATTGGGTCTTGGTACCCCAGGGCTCAGGCCCAAGCGGATGTGAAATGAGTACTAGTAGTATGCTAATAACGAGAGGTCATTCCCTCGGTTGGCGCAGAGAGCTTGTGAGAAATCAGCCGTGTCGTGATGTGTCCAGGTGGATGGGGTAGGTGCTGCATATATACATACTGGTAGTAGCTCGACTACTAGTAACTAGTTAGTAGTAGTAGTAGTACCAGTCATGTACCACTCGCAGGTGCTATGTACAATCCCACTCGGCGACACGTTTACTGTTTAGGCTGAGGGCTGAGCTGTCCCCGAAGTTTAACGGTGTGTATATTCTTAGGTTATTGGGTCTCGTGAAAGAAAGCCTGGAAAAAACCCCTCCAAGCCTGAGAGCAAGAAACGATCATCTTCCCTGTCTTCTCTACTTGCCACTTGCAAGTTGTCAGTTATCACCCCGGGCGTTAGGCCTGAAAACCTTGGACTTGTCTGCTGTAAGAGATGCGTAGGGCTTTTCGATCGCTCATGTACTTGTAGCAATATATCTGGGGAGGTATGTATTGTTGAATTTTAAGGATGTTTAGATACTATACAGTGTGAGGAAAGAGTTCAAGTTGGTGGACTAGAAGGCGTAGCCCTGATCTAGGAGTACAGATATAGAAGTGAGATTACACGGCAGGTGGCAAATATATGAGACACAAAAGAAGAACACAGAGAGAGAGAGAGAGAGAGAGAGAGAGAGAGAGAGAGGGGGGGAGAAAATAGGCCATTGTTAGAAACAGGCTCGTTTTGCCTTCTGTTTAGTTGGATCCCTGAGGCCTCGATGGCCCCGAATCACGTGATCTGCATTGAAGCTCCCCGGCGAAGCAAGCTCCCCAAGGACCATTCACCGGCCCATCTGCATCGCGCATCTCCAACGCCTTCACGATCTCCCATCCCCCCAACCCATCGAACGCCTTCTTATCCGATCTCTATTTACTCTCATTTTCCCAGCCTCCACTATGGGAGACGTTGCCGTGGAGAGCCCGGCGAACAGCCTCACGCCTCTTCCCAAGCCAGGCGCACTGGACGCCCTCGCCAATTTGGATTCCCTGGAAGGAGCGGGCGCTGATGGGAATGACGAATACGCTACCCTCAAGCGGTTACAGAGACACCTAGAGTATGTTGCATGGAGTTGGTGAAATGAAATGATAGCGGTACTGACGCCACCTAGATACATCCAGTTGCAGGAGGAATACATCAAGGATGAGCAAAGGCATGTTATCTCCGCCAATTCGACACGAAGGATTTGAGAACTGACTGTTCTGCTGAATACAGAAGCTTGAAGCGGGAGCTTGTTCGGGCACAGGAAGAGATCAAGCGGATACAGAGTGTGCCGCTGGTTATTGGGCAATTCATGGAGGCTATCGATCAGAAGTATGCGTGTTCCTTCACCAGATGATGGATCCACGTTGCTAATGTGTCATTCTGCTAGTACTGGTATCGTGCAAAGCTCAACCGGATCTAATTACGTTGTTCGCATCCTGTCTACACTCGACCGTGAGAAGTTGAAGCCATCGTCATCGGTCGCCCTGCACCGTCACTCCAACGCCCTCGTCGATATCCTCCCCCCCGAGGCCGACTCCTCCATCGCAATGCTCGGTGATAACGAGAAGCCAGATGTGACCTATGCCGATGTTGGTGGCTTGGACATGCAGAAGCAGGAGATTAGGGAAGCTGTCGAATTGCCGTTGACACACTTTGACCTTTACCAACAAATTGGTGAGCAAGAGGAATCCCTTTATGAATTTTGTGATATTTTGCTGACTCCAACTAGGTATTGATCCTCCCCGCGGTGTTTTGCTGTATGGTCCCCCCGGTACCGGTAAGACCATGCTTGTCAAGGCCGTGGCCAACAGCACAACCGCCAGCTTCATCCGCGTGAACGGCTCCGAATTCGTACAGAAGTACCTGGGTGAAGGACCTCGAATGGTTCGCGACGTGTTCCGGATGGCACGCGAGAACTCACCGGCCATAATCTTCATTGACGAAATCGATGCCATTGCCACGAAGCGTTTCGATGCTCAGACCGGTGCCGACCGTGAGGTGCAGCGTATTCTGCTGGAGTTGCTGAACCAGATGGACGGTTTCGAACAGACTAGCAACGTCAAGGTCATCATGGCCACCAACCGAGCGGATACTCTCGACCCTGCCTTGCTTCGTCCTGGTCGTCTGGATCGCAAGATCGAATTCCCCAACCTGCGCGATCGACGTGAGCGCCGTCTCATCTTCACCACCATCGCGTCTAAGATGTCTCTATCTCCGGAGGTGGATCTCGACTCCCTGATCGTCCGAAATGATCCCCTTTCTGGTGCCGTGATTGCTGCTATCATGCAGGAAGCCGGTCTACGGGCGGTTCGCAAAAACCGATACAACATCATCCAGTCCGACTTGGACGATGCCTACGCTGCCCAGGTGAAGAGTGGCCAGGATGATGACCGGTACGTCTTCTTCTTCCCCAAGTGCTTTATTCGTGTTACTAACCATCTCACAGTCCCGACTTCTACCGGTAAGCTATTGGCCCTTTGGGGTTGGGTGAACGCAGGTGGTAAAAGCTTGGCCCCGACTGTTGTATTATCAATAATCTGTGATACTTGGGAATACATGGATAATTCATCCTGTGCTATATGTGTTGTGTTTGAATACTTCGTCTCTCGCGTAGAAGGTGTCGGCAACCTAAGGAGAAGAGATCGGAATCCAAGGAATCCCATGGATGGCAGAGTAGGCCCACCGCTGATAAGACTAGTTGATCTCCCCCCGGGGCCTGTCCTCTAGACCTTGCTTCGTAATCTGTACGTATACACATCCCATGTACTCTGTACTCCGTACTTCGTATAGAACTAATCAATCACATCAGTTGCCTAACGTAGGCGCCCTCACAAGTAACTTGGCCTTGGCCCTGACCCCTCGCCACCTCCGCTCTGCCAGGCACGGCGCTAGGCAGCCCAGCCTCCTCGTCAGCTGCACCCCTTCCCGGGATTGAAACTCAACTCTCTCGTAGCTAAGCTCGTAATGAGGAAATCACCAAAACCCATTAATTCATCAAAATAATGGATCACTGGCTAATAAGACAGCAATTCAATGAATGGTCTACCATGGACCTTTTCTTATACCTACTCTTGTAGAGAAAGCGGCGGAATGTGCCCAAACCAAGACCGGGTGTAACCCGCTCCGGCAGCAGCTGATTTTGGGGGAATGACGCACTCCCGTCACGTTATGCCGATCGAACAGGCTCCGCCCCCAGCCCAGTCTTATCTTCCTCATCACCTCCTCACCATCGGGATCATCCACACTCTCTCCATCCAGTTCCATCATGAAGTCTTTCGCTATCCTGACAGCCTCCGCGCTGCTGGGCAGTGCCTCTGCGGAGGTTCACAAGCTCAAGCTCAACAAGCTCCCTCTGGAGGAGACTCTGGTAAGGAGCCAGCCCGTTACCCCAACATGAGTGGACCTGGAAACGTCTAACCGCCCCCCCCCCAGAACGTCCACAATATCAACGACCATGTGCAGGCTCTCGGCCAAAAGTATATGGGCTACCGCCCTGGTCAACACGAGGACACTTTCAAGGATACCTCCTTCAAGCCCGCCTCTGGCCACGACGTCCTGGTCGACAACTTCCTGAACGCCCAATGTAAGCATCATCACCATCATCATCATCAAACAACCCCTCCCCCCCTGCAGAGATAAGACAACGATACCTAACATATATATCTAAGACTTTTCCGAAATTGAAATCGGTACCCCTCCCCAGACCTTCAAGGTCGTTCTCGATACAGGTAGCTCCAACCTGTGGGTCCCGTCCTCGGAGTGCAGCTCGATTGCCTGCTTCCTTCACAGCAAGTATGACTCTTCTTCCTCGAGCACCTACAAGAAGAACGGCACCGAATTTGCCATCAAGTATGGTTCTGGTAGCCTGAGCGGCTTCGTATCGCAGGACACCCTGAAGATTGGCGACCTCAAGGTCGAGAAGCAGGACTTCGCCGAGGCCACTGAAGAGCCTGGTCTCGCCTTTGCATTTGGCCGTTTTGACGGTATTCTGGGTCTCGGATATGACACCATCTCTGTCAACAAGATGGTTCCTCCCGTCTACAACATGCTGAACCAGGGTCTCCTGGATGAGCCCGTCTTCGCTTTCTACCTGGGCGACGCCAACAAGGAGGGCGATAACTCCGAGGCTACGTTCGGCGGTGTCGATAAGGACCACTACACCGGTGAGCTCGTCAAGATTCCCCTCCGCCGCAAGGCTTACTGGGAGGTGGACTTGGACGCTATTACCTTCGGCGACAGCACTGCCGAGCTGGACAACACCGGTGTCATCCTTGATACCGGTACCTCGCTGATCGCTCTGCCTTCCACCCTTGCTGAGCTTCTGAACAAAGAGATCGGTGCCAAGAAGTCCTTCACTGGCCAGTACACCGTCGAATGCAGCGCTCGTGACAGCCTGCCTGAGCTCACCTTCACCCTGAGCGGACACAATTTCACCATCGGTCCTTATGACTACATCCTCGAGGTCCAGGGCTCCTGCATTAGCAGCTTCATGGGCATGGATTTCCCCGAGCCCATGGGCCCTCTGGCCATTCTGGGTGACTCTTTCCTGCGCCAGTGGTACAGCGTCTATGACCTCGGCAACAACGCCGTTGGTCTGGCTAAGTCTAAGTAAATCTGATGTCCATTAATTGCAATGCCCCATGGGTCGCGTGATTGTCGATGAGGAGAACACACAAGATTCAGGGCGATGTTATGTAAATACATCGCATGTGGCTTCAATCGGTTGATATGAAGACCGCTCGACACATCCCCTAGTTGCTCTTAGCATTTCGTTGATGAGTAGCTTCTGCTTTACTTTGCCACCATGCTCCCACCTTGGGCTTGCTCTTTGAGGATACTGCAAATTGTTTGTCTCATCGAGCAGGATTTGATATGCATCTTTTATTCATTTGGCTCCGATCGACCAATGTTTCTTCGGGTTTATTTTGTTCTGAATTTGATCTTCTGCAATAAGCAATATACGTACCTTATATGTCTCCATCCGATAGGCGCGGCAAGCCGTAGATACCGCCTCGTAAGCTCTCTACTACATGTAGTTCTGCTGTAACGGTCACGGTCCTGGCTGCAGTGCAGCAGACTAATAATGACCAATCATGGATGTCAATTGAATCTGGGCCAGCCAGTACATACAATAACGGGTCATTCGGAATTAGGTGAGGATAGACATAAGACAATTAAAATCTCGACAAATAAAGATTCGGATATAGAGGGAACAGATTTCCCCAAAACCAGCTTGAAAGACTCTTAAAGCGTCCCCTTGGATGTTGACATCACTCTCAGCCATGAACCGAAATCTGGGGTGAGGCGAATTTGCCTTGGCCTTGGAAGTTGACATAAGCGGGAAGCTCGCTGTCCCCGCACGTTGAGAGCTTTACTCTCTCCGATCACACACCGCAATCCTGTATCCTCAAACTTATCCTTTCTGTCAAACTCGCTCTGTTTTTTAGCGCCTGGCCCGTTTCCAATTTCCCGTTTCTCGTCTCCGACATTTCACGTGCTTGGTCGTGTAAGGCGCACCTCTTTGCTCTTTGTCGTGTGGCGAAACCGGCCATCCGACAACCCCAGGCTACAACCCTTGCAGTTCCGCGCCATTCATCCTCATTTTCCCTCAAAGAACCCTCTCGATTCAACACTGACCCCGACAAACTCCTTTGGACCGGCTCTTCTCCCCTCAACACTAGCGCTGATCGGGCTCTCCTCACGCGTCGCGTGTTGGTTATGGCTCGGTAACCACGACTCGCACGCGATCAACCTCATACGTACTCCGCGTCCACAACTTGCGCGGAATCCGTCTGATTCCACAACCGAAGGAATATCTCAAGCGCGAGAGGTTAGACTGTTGGGCAGAAACGTGATCTTTGTCGCCCGGGGGCGAACCGAGAGCAACCATGCTTCTCCGTTTGCCGACTAGTCTGCACTATCCCATCACCGTCACCTCACTACTGAAACAAGCGGGTGACAAGGTAGAACGGGATGAGGCTATTTTCTGGTATATCTATCAGACCACGGTCGAGGAAGGTGATGGGCTGGGAAACAAGGTGCAGGTGAAGCGCAAGTTTCCGACGCGGTTCGAATCAAGCGTCGACGGCGAGATCTTGGAGTGGAAAATTTCAAAGGGCGATGTGATTGAAGGACCGTAAGTATTGCGTCCTATCCGGTCTTTCTATTACCGCTTTGTGGACTAACCATATACGTCTAGACTTGATGTGGTCGAAATCGATGAACCATGTGCGCACGAGGTCCAGTTCGGAGGACTCTGCGCGGAATGTGGAAAGGACATGACTGAGTATGTAATTTCCTGAGTTTCCGGATGGCAACTATTGTATGCTGACGAGTTCTTTCTTGCGCAGAGCCACCTATAATACCGAAGTAATGGACTCAATGCGCGCTCCTATCCAAATGACTCACGACAATACCACCCTTACCGTTAGCGAGAAAGAGGCTACTCGAGTCGAGGAAGATGCGAAACGTCGTCTCTTGGCATCTCGGCGCCTCTCGCTCGTGGTTGATTTAGATCAAACCATCATCCATGCCACTGTCGACCCAACCGTGGGGGAATGGAAGGAGGATAAAAACAACGCTAATTACGGAGCTCTGAGAGATGTCAGACAATTTCAATTGATTGACGATGGCCCCGGGATGCGCGGCTGCTGGTACTATATCAAGCTGCGACCTGGGCTAGAGGAGTTTTTGGAGAAAGTTGCCGAGCTGTATGAACTTCACATCTACACCATGGGCACTCGTGCATATGCACAAAATATTGCCGATATTATCGACCCCACGCGCAAGCTCTTTGGCGACCGTATTCTCAGTCGTGATGAGAGTGGCAGCTTGACCGCCAAAAACCTTCAACGCCTATTCCCCGTTGACACTAAGATGGTCGTTATTATCGATGATCGTGGTGATGTCTGGCGGTGGAGCCCCAACCTGATCAAGGTTTCCCCCTATGATTTTTTCGTTGGGATTGGTGATATTAATTCCAGTTTTTTGCCCAAGAAGCAAGACATCGGCGCAACAAACAAATTAATCAAGGCAGCAAAAGAAAAAGAGTCCAAGGACCATCATCCCAACGGCACTGTTGCGAAGCCAGAGTCTGAGACGGAAGTCTCTGCATTGCAACAGCTGGTCACTATGGGAGGTGGCGACAACCCAAGACTGTTGCATGAACAGACCAATGAGCAAGAAGAGACGATTTTGCACCAAGTAGAGGACCGACCACTACTACAAAAGCAAAAAGAACTGGACGCCGAAGACGAAGCTTCTCCCGAGAGTAGTGAGTCTCCCAGTGTGGAAGAATCACAGGAGTCCAACAAACATCGCCATCATTTGCTTGAAGACCATGATAGAGAGCTTTTCCAGCTCCAAGATCGACTAGAGAAAGTTCACCTACAATTCTTCGATGAATATGACAGGAGGAGATCACATGCTATTGGAGGCCGTGTGGCAGCTCTTAGAGGAGAGAAGACACTATCCAAAGATAAAGATGTTGATCTGAAACTTGTCCCTGACATCAAAGATATCATGCCAATGTTCAAACGGGGAGTTCTTGGAGGAGTGGTTTTGGTATTTTCCGGGGTTCTTCCCTTGGGAACGGATACCCAAAATGCCGATATTTCGCTGTGGGCTAAGAGCTTCGGTGTGGCCATCGCATCGAAAATCAATGGTCGCACCACTCACCTTGTTGCCGGGCGTAACCGTACTGCGAAGGTGCGTGAAGCTACTCGATACCCGAATGTCAAGATTGTCTCAACACAATGGCTTCTGGACTGCTTGGTTAGCTGGCAGCACTTAGATGAGGACCCATATCTACTCCACATCCACGATGATGACCGTGCCGAGCCTCTTTCTCCCAATTCGCGAGAGCTCGTGGAGAGCTCGTGGATCTCTTCTTCGGATGAAGCCACAGGGGCTTCACTTTGGACCGATGAAGAGGGCAACGGCAATGATCCGGAAATATTCAATTCCGCTGGACTCACAGAGACTTCGCACATTGGATATGATGAAGACGAGCAAGCTGCTGTCCACGACGAACTGAAAGATTTTCTCGGCAGCGATGACGAGAGCGAAAGCGACAATGAAGTCTTGGGTGACGAAACCAACACCAGCGGGAAGAAGCGTAAACGCGGCGAAGACGTTGATAGCGAAACAGGCGAGGACTCGGCTGAAGATGATGACGATGAGAACGACCAGAAAGGCTCACGCCTTTCTCAAAGAATTAAGCGTTCCTATGAGAGGAGCACGGGATTGCGGGAAGTGGCGACAGCCTCAAGTTCGGAAATGGGCGAGACTCGTCCAGAGCATGTTCGCCCCTCCGGACCCCATGAGGATGAGCCTGACGCGGAGAACGTAGGGACCAGTCACGATAATGACGAAGGGTTCCCTGAGAACCCGGACGACGACGATGACGAGTTTGAGCGCGAGATGCTCGCCGCATTTGAAGACGACTTCGACGACAATGCCGAAGGCGACGATATGGCGGATGAGTAATCAAAACCCACTGCGCTGTTTGCTCCCTATCTCTTGTTTCGTACTCACTGTTCCATTTAACCTCCATCTGGCCGTATCTGATCTCTGCCATACTGATTTGTGCAGTTGCGATGCGCTCCCGGCATAGCGGCGGCGTTTGTCCGTGATACTTCTTCTCTACTTGTGTATTTTCTGCCTGCAACAGGCTTAGATTGTTTACAATCTACAGCTTGTACTTGAATACAGGTGCTAAAGGATTCGTCGTGTACTATCTCCCGGAATTTGATCCTGCCTTGAACCCCTCTTTCTATTGTAGCCGCGTACTGAAATTTCCTGATGGCGCTCAGTAGATGGACCTAAAAAGCGTAATTATTCTCGAACTAGGTTGAAATTTCATGGCTATGATGTTCTGAATTGAATTTCTTCATTTTCTGTGCCTTCAAGGCTTTCTCTTGAGCCTGGAACGCTCCGGGCAGTGGGGCCATGGAGGACTGGGCAGCTCCGAGGCGATCTAAGAAAACAGATCCAAGTAAGATTACTAGTAGACATCCCCGGATTTTACTACCCCGGAAAATTAGTCTCCTGGACCCTCCACTCTTATCACAACCCGTCAGTCAGGAACGCTCCGTAGGGTTCGGAATGGTCACAGTAGTTAAATATCGAAGACCGGGAAGACGCACGAACTTGACGTCAAATCGCAACTGTCACAAACATTAAAGCTATTTCATAATCATGGTCTTTGAAAGAGATTATCTAAACCCACTACCAGCATGGCTGAATTCCACAGCTGCTAAATGGGCCTGGATATCACTGACTGCGTTCGCCAATCTACCGGGCCAGTTCAATCGGACCATCTTCGATGCTCCTTGGGCAACAGAGACGGACAATCTAATACTGTCGAAGACGTGAGTTAAGCCTTTGTATCTAAAGACAACTTGAACTTTAGTCTAAACCAGATTACCCCCCCAGACTAAATTACGTCAACGCTACCGACTTCGTCGCCTACGACGAACGCTTTTTAGAGCTCATCGGCGCAGATGCAACAATCGAGCACATCCAACATCTCGCCTACCAATCCCACGAGGCACCGTGTTACATTCCTGAAACACATCAACTACTCTTCGTCGAATGGGGTAAGCCGGGAGGCGATGATGGTATCCACAAATGGCAATATCTCCTCGATATCAAAAACAATACTCTTCGGAAGATAATCACCGACCCACCAACTTACAACCTGCACGGCTGTGTCAATTTCCAAGGTCAGCTGTACGGAGTCACAGACGGGCATAGAAACAACGAGACCGGGAAGCTTGTTAAAATTGATCCGCGTTCGTGGAAGGCGACGACACTGTTGAATAATTTCGTCGGTCAGCCTTTTGCCGGGTTCAATGATCTCGAAGTTGACCCGGAAGGGAATTTCTGGCTAACAGATTCGAAGTCTGGTTGGGTATGTGAATTTCACTTATTTTATGCTTTATTCTTTAAAGAAGAAGTGTGACGATTTAACTTCTTATCATGAATAATAGGGTCGGGGATCGTTGACTTTACACCTCCTAATGACCCATCAATCTACTTCGTCAACGGAACAACCATGCAAGCAAAGATAGTTTGGACAACCAGCGGCAACTCAAATGGCGTGGCTATGGGCCCTGATGGAAAAACACTCTACGTGCCAGACTCGGGTGTCTCGGAATTTCGGCCATCGAATAAGAACCCCCACGGTCGCCGAATGGTTTGGGCCTTTGATGTTGCGGGCCGAGGCGCTATTTTAGCTAACCAGCGACTGTTTACAAGCCCTGTTTCATACTTCTATGATGGAATTCGTGTGTCGAGGGAAGGCTGGATCTTTGCTGGATCGGGGGATGGGGTTGATGTTGTTGATCCGGAATCTGGATTTGTGGTTGGCTCTATTCGGACTGGGGGTGGGGAGAATGTTGCTGTCAGCTTGGCTTTTGGGGAACATGAGCTGTGGATTGTTGGGAAGGGTGGTGTTTGGCATGTTAAGGATATCAAGACCAAGTTGAAGAGGGATTGGTAATATATTTCCGACCTGCCAGGAGCTTGGACTGCTAGGTACGCGTATAGGTAAGCGTATAGGTAATCGTCTTAGGGTTAATTGAATGTCTGGTTCAAATGAAATACCATGCTCTCTAACTATAGAAAGATAGTGGATTTTAAATTGTGAATCATCTATGTCCTTCTTTAGTTTTCTGAATCCGATGCAGCTCGCGAACCTCCTCATCCAGACCGGGAGCTGGCCCTTCCACAGGATACTCGGCGCAACATCGTTGATAGGCAAGGCAGCAACGAGACCAGCCTCGACGCCCAGATCCAATTTCCATTTCACAAGCTGAGCAGTAGAGCTAGCGTAAACAATTCGGCCTAATCCCACATTTGCATGGACGGCAGCACACATCGGACAATGCTCGCCCGAGGTATAGACTGTGGCAGTGGCGCGCTCATCTGGAGTCAGGTTTGCCTGGGCCCACTTAGCCAGTGTAAACTCAGGGTGCAAAGTGACATCTCCGTCAGTCACTGTTCTGTTGCGGTCCTCTTGAATTATCTCTCCGGAGACATCGACCAGCACTGAACCGAATGGAGCATCGCCTGCTTCGAGAGCCTCGCGAGCCAACTCCACGCAGCGACGTAGATATTTGAGGTCGGTATCAGAGACCATTTTCAAATTGTTTTGCCTGTGAATATGTCGTGATGAAGCAGAGTATAGTCCTTGTGACGTCGTGCTTGGATTTTGCGGGGTCAAAAATGTGTCTGCAAAAGTTGGCTATCAGATACTATTGAGAGTAGACTTGCCGCCACCCGAGACACCTTGAGATACCTTATATTATCGCATGAAATATCCTCAGGTGGAAGAAGAGGTAGTAGATATGTATTCAACTTGTGGAATAGAAAAGCGCAGTCACCCCGCAGTCAGGGATTACTAAAGACGAACGGTGAAGGGTGTCGTAATTCTTGATACGGAGAACAGCGAAAATGCCGGAACACGCCGAAATTTCCCTTTAAGAAAAAGCCAAGCAATACTCGTATTTATAATAAGTACCTCGTCTAGATGGCCATGGAGTAGTGTAGGGTTCCATGTCAGTTCTATTCTATTCGTGGAATTGATTAGTAGCGGGGAACCACCTCACTGTGGAGGAAGCCAACCTTACAGCTCTCAGGATTATGATAGCATCCCTTTCCAAGAAACTATATTGTATTGTAGACTCAGAAGATAGAATTAAATATCATGATGGTCAAAATTTGTACCGCAGAATTAGATCGTAAGCGTAGCCCTAGGCTAGTATGCTATGAAATGTGAAAGCTCAAACGCCACGTTTTGATGCGAAATAGAAGATGGTATCACGTAAAAAGAAGAAGAGTCATGAAAAATAGACAGGCGAGAAGTTAATGGTAGTAGTTTCGGTGAACTTGCCAGCTCATCACGACCATCCAAACGTAGAATATGGTATTGACAAGCTCAAACGCGAAGGCAGTTTTCCAGCAATTGCCTGTTAGATGGTCAGTGGATTGATCATCCCGCGGATGAATTGGAAGGGCAGGATAAACTCACAAATTGTGTTCTGGGTCAGCCATGCCAGGGTATTGATGTTGTTTCCCCGTGAAACATTGTCAACCACGTAGTTTTGGCAATTGTCGTTCACACTCCCGGCCACGCCATAAAGTTGTAGCGACGTCTCAATAAGCCCGGCCAACCATAAGACAAAGAGGATGAAGCTCCCGAGAATGAGAATCCCGGGAAGTAAGAAATGCCGTGCGATAAGTGCGAGGACAAGAAAGATGAAGGCGACGCCGAGGGCGCTGGTCACGACCATGTATGGAAAGAGCCTGGAAGGTCATACATAGTTAGTACAGGTCTTTTTGATCCCCGATGAATACGAAATACTTACCATGGCACACCGAGATCCATTTGCGATTGAACGATCATAAACCACGAGAATATCCCGAGACATGTTGCAGAGCCAGAGAGCACAACGATAAGCCAGACATTGAGTTGGATTTCGGGCCAATGGTAGCTGGGCCGCACCTCACGACGCATTCGAATAGCCATTATCTTGAAGGGAAGAAGTGAAAGAAGGTAAATCTCGGTAGTCGCACGAATGGAATGCTATTTTCCGTCTGAACTTCGAGACCTTTCCTTCAAGTCAACCTTAGATATATACGGCTGGCGGATGTCTTCAGCCCAATGATATTGCGTCGCCTTGGTTGTCGCAGGACCGCTTCCTATTTTCGCCCGATGACACAATGCGATCAATTATTTTGGGACGAACAAATCGGCTGAGTGGCTTCTTTCAACGGGTTGCGGAGGTGGGTGAGAGCGATAAGGTGGACAGCGCATTGGGCGCCGGCTGGGCGCTGGGTCGAGGGAGACCTTCGAGAGAGAGGATTCGGGTACTTTGGCTTTGGTGAGGCGTGCGGAATGCTGGGGTAGCTTGGCGTGGAGGAAGCGGTTGATTGCAGGGGGAGGATGGGAATGGGAAGCAGAAATCAGCAGAGGGGAGGGGGGTTTGTTGATTGATCGGCGAGAAATTGGGGTGGCAGGGGATTTAGTCCGCGTCCCGCGATTTGCACAACCGCGGCTCCGCTCCACTCTGCCAGGAACAAGAACCCACTTGTCATCGTCAAAGATTGGATTTTTGCATGCATTTGACATGTCTAGTCTCTTGCTCGGAGAGTTTGTAATATCAACAGTCCTGAGTACCCAGTTATATCTATATACACCATGGTACTACTTCCTTGTTCCTACTACTATAAGCTGGAACTGGCAGGATAGCAAGTGTAACATAACGGCGTTAATTGATTTTAGCTAGCTTCTATTCTTCCATCTTTGAGGAATCTAAAAATTACAAAAGGGTATCTCCGAGCGCACTGCGCACCAACGAGCAACCTGCACGGATAGTCTCAGCCGCTCCCACAGACTCAAGGCTGGGGTTAACCTCCACCAGGTCCATGGCGACCAAGTTACCGGTCTCGTGAACACATTCACAGATAAAGTCACCCTCACGTAGGGTCAGACCACCGCGAACGGGGGTACCAGTGCTAGGAGCCCACTGGGGGTCCAGGGCGTCAACGTCGAACGACAGATGAATGGGGGTGTCGTTGCCAATGTGAGCAAGAGCCATCTCGACAACACGACCAATGCCGTGACTAAGGAATCAAGTTAGAAAGAAAGACCACTTTACTGGAGCTAAGGGGGAGGGAGAGGATAAAACGAACCGGTCAATGTCGTGCATGCTGAAAGCCTTGATGCCGTTGTCACGCAGAAGCTTCTTCTCACCACGGTCGACATCCCGCAGACCAATGTAAACCAGCTTGCGAGTGCTAACAATGTGCTCATCCTGGAGCCAGCCGAAGATGTCACGGCGCTCCTCCTGGGCCAACCGGGTCAGGAATGCCATAGGCATACCGTGGATGTTACCGCTATCGCTCAACTCGGGAGTGTTGATATCGGCGTGCGCATCCACCCAGATGACAGCCATTTCACGACCCAATCGCTCACGGATAGCCTTGGCTGTTCCAGACACCGTTCCAATGGCAATGGAGTGATCACCACCCAGAGTGAGGACGAACTTGCCGTCCTTGGCATAGTTGTAGACCTGGTCACTCAGGCGTTCAGTCACAGCGCTGACGGCACGGGGCTTCTTCATGCCACGGAAATCGGGGTCTTGTTCTTCGGTGGGGATGTCTTTCTCGTAATAGTGGACGGTGTCGTCGTGTTGGACGTCATAGTCGAGATCTTCGCGGAGCTGGGTCAGCAGACCAGACTCGATGAGGGCCATGGGAGCCGCCTCGACACCCTTCTTCATCTATTAAGGTATTAGCCTTCTGGCATAGGGCATGTAGCTCTCTCGCAATGGGCACTCACCTGTCCGCCATTGAAGCCGACAGCGACCACGCCCAGTTGGTTGGGGTGGGAGAGGAAGCGGGAGTCGATTGTAGATGGTTGCGTCATCGTGCGTATATGCTCTGCAGTAGATTGCAGAAAGTCACGAGTTTATAGGTATGAAGAACAAGAAGAAAAGAGATTGAAGCTCCAAGAAGCAGAAGCTCAAGATGGATCTGCGATAAGATCGTAATACTGGAGGGGCAGAAAAAAAAAGTGGACCAAGTCGAGCCGCAAAGGGAATCGAGTTGACAAAGAGATCAAATCAGATCAGATCAGAGATCAAAAGGAATGGGAATATCTGGGGAAAGTGAAGAGAAAGAAAGGAAGAGGCCCAGCTTTATATCTTTTCCCTCTTCCCCCCTTTCCGACCTCCTCGGGCCCTTATTCATTCTTGATTGTCGCAGTCGCTAAAACCTGCACTTAGGGATCACGGCACTCCGCCGGGTTCTCCATCACTTCCGTTAAGTACAGGTTGAGGAGAGCCGCCCCGTTTAGTCCCACCCCATTGCCATTCCGTCTCCGAACGAGGCGCGTGCCCGAAGATATGTCGTAATGGTATCTTTCAATCGGGGTCTTTTCTTTTTCTTCATGTTAAACGCGTCTGATGCGGTAAATGTGGGGGCTCTCCAGGACCAACAAGCCTAGTGGGCATACATTTTGACGTTTTGACATACTTTTTTGATACTAAATTTTCTCTTTTTCTTTGCAGCTGCAATTCTTGTCTGGTGGAGGAACAAATAAACTTAGAAATACAGGGTATCATTGGAATTATCTATGTTGTACATGGCTCTACGCTATACTCTTATGCTTTCCCCAGGATAAGTTCGCGGAGAACCTCCTCGGCCTTGGGTGCTTCAACTCGGCCCTTCTCGCCCGTGCGCATCATCTGCCCCACGAACCAGCCGAGCTTCCCCAGCTGATTCTTGCTGCGGATCTGTTCGACCATCTGGGGGTTCTGCGCCATCGCTGTCTCAGCCAGTGCCAGGTATTCCTCCCGCGACAGCGGCCGTAGCAAGAGGTTGTCTTCTTCCAACATTTGTGGAATTGGTCGATGATCCCCCTCGAAGACTACCGCCAGGACTTGCTTTGCAGTGGGCCCAGTAATCAGTTTCCGCTGTAAGTGGTCGACGAGGTCGGCCAGAGACCGGGCCGGGATAATTTCAGAGTCCCAGGCCCGGTCTGCTTTGGTCAGTAGACCGCCCAGTTCATGCAGAACCCAATTACCCGCCATACGCGCAAGAGCTGCGCGAGTGATGTCGTCTTGACCAGGGTGGATGGAATGGAGAGCATCCACTACATCTTGGTAATACTCTAAGCGAGCGCCGTCGTCCAGTTCAATCAATGGCTTGGCATCTTCGATCGAAAGACCGTACTCGGGCCCTGTCAATTCAACCACGAGCTGATCGGGTGCAGTGGGGAGGGTATCCTGGAGACGAGAGATGAGGTCCTCGCCAATGACGAGCGGTGGAATATCGGGATCTGGCATGTAGCGATAGTCCACAGCACCTTCTTTACCTCGCAGTCGGCGAGTCTCGGTACTGCCGATGGTCCATCCACGCGTCTCGCCTTCCACGACACCGCCACTTTCCAGCACCGCGATCTGGCGATTCTTCTCGGCGATGATGGCGTCTTCTATCGCCTTGAAACTGCTCAGATTTTTGATCTCGGTACGCTGACCAAGCCCGGTGATTCCATCATAATGATTATTGCCTGGTGCTTCTCCCCGCCGGCGGATGGAGACATTGACATCGGCACGAAGACCACCTAACTCCATGCCGGTGGTCACGGCACCACACGCCTGTAGGATCGCTTGGAGTTTTCGAACGCACGCGGCGGCGGTGGCGGGGGTATGAATCTGAGGCATCGTGATGACCTCGATCAGAGGGTGGGAAACACGATTGAAATCGAGTAGCTGTGAAGACGGGGGGTATTCTTGGGATTTGGCCGTGTCTTGTTCTAATTGAACTTGTTTGATGTCCACTCGAATACGCTCGCCATCTTCGCGGGCGATGCCATCGTAGTCGTATAAATCGACGTAACCGTTTCGTGCAAATGGTTCTGGAGGGGCAGGGTTAGCAATATCCCTTTTTTGTAGCGTCATGAAGCAATGAGAACCCCACCATAATACTGTGTAATTTGATACCCGGATGGTTGGTCTTGGTAGAAATAATGTTTTCGGTCAAATCGGCTGACAGGCTGGATGTCGCAGTTCAGGGCGATTGCGGCGCGGAGAGCGGGGAGAAGGGTGGCAGCTTGAAATTCCTGTGCGGCGTATGAGTTAATCGACTTTCCTATCTTGCAATGGTACACATCTATCTCTCTGTACGTACCGGCTGACTGCCCGGAAAGGCTAAGTCGAACAAGGCGACATTGGAATTGGGAAGATCACTCGCGGACGTGGCAGCACCTGCAGTGTAAGGAAAGATAGGGTTAGATACGTGGAGCACAAGTTGCGGGGAGGAGGAAGGGGGCCAACGAAGTGATGGTATGGTATGGTGGGTGGGTGGACATACGAGAAAACAGCTTTGCTGTCGTATCCAGTTGGGCGTGGATCTCCACGCCGACTGTCAATTCCCATATTTCACGCGAAGCTTCTTCACTTTCCTTGCGTTGCCTTTTCTGGGCCCTGAGAGCCTTAGCCTCCTGCTTGAGTTGTTTGCGGAGGGGGACGCGGTCAGAATCTGGTTGGACCGAGGAAGAGGAAGTGGGAGCACTGCGCGTTGGCAGGGATGAGAACTGTCGGAACTGCAAGTACAAGATCTGGGGGCGAGTCACAGGGCAACTGAGCCGATCGAGTAAGCGGATGGTACCGCGGGGCCTTGGCCGAAGCATGGAGAGACGAAAGTGATGGCGATGGCGATGGCGGGTGGAAGTGGGAGAAAGCGCAAAGCCCGCGAAGTTCGAATTGCGGGAGACTCGGCGATCTGCAGATCGTTTGGGGCCAACTTTAGAGATCTATGAATAGATGGATATGAGTGAGATGTACTCTGTAATTGTGCTCTGTAATTAAGAGAAGAATTCTATTATTCTATCCTGCTAGTATTTATCGAAGAAAAGAATGGGATTGAGGGGAAATACTAGTAGTAGTACTCCAGTATACGTACACCCACAGTCAGTGTATACAGTACATAATGAACTACCTCATACATCCACCCACTGCACTGCTGCACCTCCCTTCTACTCTTCCTCATGGAACCACGTCGCACCCCACCTGCACGGAAGAACACTCTCTGCTGCACGACAAAAACAGAAACAGACTCGACTGCTCTCATTATTCTGGCCCCTCTCGCCCTCTTCGCCCCGAAAATGTGAAAATTGGGGCCCAACTGCTTGCCAGACCGCCAGAAGCCCCTCAACGCAAGGCGTGAGATGATCGACAGGCGACTCGCCAGCGCATGGTTCCCCAGTCACTTCGTTCAGACGCCTGCATTATAGTCCGGATCGGAGAGGATCCTCTCTGATTTGTTCTCCTACCCAATAGTGGCCCACACTATTGATTCATGCCTCCATTTCTAGTTACCGCTAGCCCCAAGTCAATTCCTCTTCTTTATCTCGGGTCTGTTTGTGTACTTCCTACTTTTGTGTTCCCAGTCGCCATTATCCATCATCGTACAACCTGAATCGGCGTCACAGCAGGTCTTTTGTTCCGCCCCTCTCCTTCGATCGACAGGGAGAACCTAAAACCTCCTTGCGACTACCCCGTGTCATTGGTCGTCGATCTGAAGCCCCCGGCGCTTCTCATCTGCTTCAGATTATCAGGGATCCCCGGCTGTGACGAATTGTAACCCACTTTGGGGCCCCCGCGAGACGCCCGGATCTCGTTTGAGCCCTGCGCTGGTGACGCGAACTTCGTTTCTAATTAGGGGCTGACGTGCCGTACGGCTGCTTCAGAGTCAGTACATTGTTCGACTTGGGGCCGCTCGCTCTAGATCTGCCCCATTATACATACCTCTTCCTGCCCCGAGGAATGTCAACGGGACGACGCGGGGAGAATTGAGACATCACATCATCTTGCTTGTTCGCTTCGACGGTTGTCTGTTCCTCGCCCTTTTGCTCTGTCATATTTTCTTATCGTCTCTCCTCTTTTCGTCTATTTCTTTTCTTTTCTTTTTCCATTTTCGCTGGACGACCCCTAGATTCCGCATGCTTGCCGTGATCTGATCGGAATTTAGCCCCTCCTCCCTTGTCATGCCTCGGGTCCCCATACTGACGTTATACACCTGGCGACCCTTCCATTCAACACTACATGCCCATCGAACCCTTTTGAGTGTGGGCATGGCCTCATAAGATTCTTATTGTTTTCTCAAGCGATGCGCCGGGTATTACTTCCGACCTTTTCCGATCACCATGCCGCTCCGCACCGCTTCGTATAGTATGACCCGCAAATCAACGAAAGATGGGAGGAAACGGACATTGTCAACAGTCTCCAATACAACCCAACCGACGCAGGCTGGACCTGCTGCCTCCAAACCCAATGAGAAGGGATTCAATGGACCAAACAAGGCTCTGAAGTCGCAGGCGACAACGGAAGCACTTGCTAATACTAAACCCGTTGAACCACCAAAGAAAGTCCCAGATGTATTTCAATTCCTGGACAATAACGATGGCTCATCTTCTGAGTCGTCATCTGAATCCGAATCCGAATCGTCTGAGGATGAATCGCCGCCACCGGTCGCGAAGCAAACCATCACAAAGATCCAATCCCCAAAGCCGCGAACTAGTAATCCACCGAATGCGCTGCTGGAGAACACACCTCCCAAGGCGCCCGCTCCTCCATCCACAAGAGCACCTAGGAGTCCAAGTGACTCACGGCCGCTCCCTCCTCCGGCGCCGACGGTGCCTTCTTCAACAGAGAATCAATGGCAGTTGGCTCGCAAACAGCCAGCTAAATCGTCCAGCACGGGTTACTACGACACTTCAGAGGCAGAGAAATCTCCTCAGCCCAGTCGACGACAATTGCAAATATCGCATCCCGAGAATTATTATACATCGTCGAGAGACGTTGTCCATCGACCACCACTCCCGCCTTCTCCACCCAGCAGCCCGGAGGACAGCATACACCGGGATACTCAAATCAAAAGAAGAGACTCAAATGCTTCGCAGATTTCATCTGGATATGGAATGGTCGCGTCGCACCTCACTCACTCTGCCAAAGAAGAGAAGGGGGGATTTCCGCCACTCTACCGACGCTTCGGGAGTGTGAATCACCGTGTTCTCTTATATCTCCAGGATGAAATTTCCCAAATGGAAGAAGATCTCCAAGCGCTCGATGAGTATGAGGAGATGCACCGAGTTGGAAATGCCGAGAAGGAGGGCACCAAAGCAATGCCCCCCTCCCGGCGACTCGATGTTCAGTCTCAAGCCTACTCGTCGCTCCACTATCGTCGCATGGAATTGATGGCGGCTCTGACACAGAAGACAGAGCAGTACAGTATGTGTTCGACATATGCCATCACTGATTGCGAGCATTTCACTAACCCCAATAATTAGACAACGCTCTCAGTGCGTATAGTAAAGTCCTGCAGACACTCCCGCGTGCTTCTGAAGACGACATCAAGAACTATCGTACCTGGATGAAAGACCACAACCCTATCGCAGCTGCCGAGACCCGTTTCCTGGACCAAGATGCCGACCTGGTGTCCCTGAGTCCACGACTGGCGGCATCAGCGGCTGCTGCTCCAGTCTACATGGCCATCTTCATTGCCTCGGGTGCCCTTCTGCTACCTCTGCTGGCATTCAGCATGATTGCAGAGTTCTCGGGTCGTCTCGTTGTCGTGACGGTCACCGGTGGCGCGGCCGCGGCTATTGCAGCAAATTATTCATCAGGGATCGATGCCTTGGTGGATTCCAGAGATGGCTGGAGGTGTACAATGCTGTATGTTTTGTTATGTTTCCACCCAAAATCATATTATCGAGTTCGACTCGTACTGACATGTTAATAGCTACTTCGGCTTCATGACCATCGCCGCCATGTTCATGCCTTAGCCCTTGGAATACAGGGCTATCTATGACTGATGATTTTCCTTACTGTCTTAACCGAACGATTTCTCTATGTTTTGCTTTGGCATATGTATAATTGACGACATATTGCTGCGCTTGGTTGCCGTTTTTCAGAGGAAAAAGAAATTCACCTGGCCAACCTTTTGTGCCACTGGGTTAAGCGAAAGATGGCGTTTTCATTCTCGGGATCTTTCTTCAAGTTGTTTTTTTGGGAGGTGTCATAGCCCGGCCGAAATTTTCTATTATTAGGCCCCGGTATGAGTTATGAACATTGGGACGGGATAAAGCGGACTGGAAAGGAGGTGTTTGATGTTATTTGAACTCTTTTTGTGACATTGAATAGTTGTTAGTATTATGTGTATTTTATGAAGAAATTCTCCAGGATCATTGCGACTATCCGAAGATCAACTTAAATCATCGAAAAGGCTCTTGGCCTACAATTCTGATCTAATAAACATACATTGATTGAAACTGTATGAAAGCGAAAAAAAGAATCCTCTTCTAGGCCGAACATGGCGAACATCAAAGAGCGAGCTGACTTTTTCAACGGTAGCTCTTACCACCCACCCAGACAGGACTTATCTTGTAGAAACCACCCACGCGCCAATCGCTGCGATCCCAAGAAAACACCATTGGTAGAAAAACAAAGAAAATGACATGATACCGCGGAAATACGAGGAGAAGACACCATTAAAAACACAGCGGAGAAAGAGAAGAAGAAAACAAGAATTTGAACAAGTCTCCATGAAGATTTGGAAATGAGTTCAAACTCCTTGCAAAGTTGAAGTAAAAACCGAGGACATGATATGGAAGAAAAAAAAATACCCTTTTCATCAACTCAGTATGTTTAGGGACAAGTACAGGCATCGTCGTGTGGTCACAAGAAACATGAATCCATCCCCTATTATTGGACAGGGGTGCCATTCTGCTTGCTTCCAGGAGTAAGGCTGCCCTCTTGTGATAGACGAGCCTCGTAACCCCCAGGCTGCGGCGTGGAGGGACTCTGTCGACTCTGTTGTACCGCGATATGAGCCTTTGCGGCTTGCTCGGCTGCACTTCGAGCGTGAATGGCAGCAGCGGCACTGTTGGGGTACGGCCCTTGGGATGGGGTTCCATGCGACGCGTACGGTTGACGCTGAACAGGGCCAGCATTCGCATAGGGAGTGCGGCCCTGGGGTGTTACATTGTAGCCGGCTGGCTGCCCTGGCCGTGGTGTATATGGCTGGGTAGATTGTGTGTAGCCATTAGGCGTGGGACGTTGGAACTGTGGCACGTTGTTTGCTTGACTGAGTTGCTGCCCCCCTTGTGCATATTGTTGTGGCGTATATCCAGGGCGTTGGGATGGCGTGCTGGGAGGACGTGCACCGTTATACCCGGGGGTAAATGTACCTGCCCCGGAAGGTTGTCGGCCGTGTTGAGGTACTTGGAAATTTGGCCGTTGTGGAATTTGAGCGTTGGCGGTAACTGCACGCTGGTTAATGCTAGAATGTGGCCCTTGGTAGCTGCCCGGCCGTGGCACGGAGGAAGGCGTTGGGTTCCGATTCGCGGTATTGGGTGGTGCTGCTGCCATGGCCATGGCCGCAGCGCGTTCCTGTTGTAAGGTGTAATCATCCTTCTCCATGGTACCAGTATAATCCGGAGTTTCGATCAGAATCTTTTGACTAATGTTTAATTCCGCCAGCTGATCACCGTCCAATTTTGCAACGGCATATGGCGGCAAGTTGCCGATGATAGCAAGAAGACTCGTCTTCAGTGTTTCGTAAATGACTTTCTCTGCATCAGATGGTGCATCAACATCGTCGGAATCGGGAATTGGAGTGTCTTTGCTCTCTGAAAGGTCGCCATCAGCAGGTGGGAAGGTCAGATGACGAATTTTCTGGTAAGAGCTCAGAGTATCGAGTAGATCTGAAATTTCGACGAGAAGCTCTTCAACCTCCCTTGAGTCGGGATCCACTTGAGATTTCTCGTTCTCGCCAGTAACGTCATAACTGATGTCTTCCGGATTGAATGACTTGACCATTTCGTCTAGAGTGCTTTCATCAAGGTCGCCGATGCTTCCTGGCTGCGCACTTATGGCTTCTTCCTCCGTTTGAGGAAGTGAGAGCAAGGTACGTAAGCGCTTGGATCCTCGCTTCTCCCACCAGATCATGTCCTTTACATCATTTTGGAGGGTGGCCCCGGAACTATCGTAAGACGGGGCAAAGGATGAGTAGACGCCCTGCAGGAGAGATGAATCATCACCGGTCCACAGTGCAGGATCACTGTGTTTTGAGCTAGAATCTGCACTGGCATGATACTTTTCGACGCGAGCCCAAAAAGCTGGCGAAGACGTGACTCCACCGTACTGTAGCCATTGTCCTGCGGGAAGTGGCGTCAAAGCAGAGCTGTTGCGGTCATCGTAAAAAGCTTCTCGAGTCGAACGCGGCGTCAAATGGATCCATCCAAGTAATCGAGGTGCTTCGATAGCTTCGTCTCCGTGGGCGTTCTAATTGGGGGAGGCCAGCGCGCGGAGCGAAGACCTCACCAAACGTTCTCTTTGATGGTGGTGAAGCAGCACTGAGATTATAAGGGACAACTTTTGTGGCTGAAATTCCATTCGGGAGGGCACCCTCGCGAAGTTCTTCTTGCACTTCAACACTCCTCTCCGTGTCCCCATTGGAAGATTGCAGGGGCACTTTAACGGATTTCTGCAAGCTTGAGAATAGTTGTTTGGGGTTCGCCGGGTTTGAAGAATTCCCAAAGATTGTCAGTGCCTGCTTGTCCTCACGGGCGCTGACATGAGCGACTGTGGCTAAGACTTGATCTTCCTCATCGTCTGGAGATTCGGCCTTGACATTAGGTTGGTTAACAAATGATTGGCCGACCAGACTATTCATATGTTTCTTAAAAGCCGCAATGCGATTCACAACTTCTGTCAAGGGCGTCCCATCAACCCCGATACCGTTTGACTGATTTTGGTTGCGTTCGATCGCAGCAGCAGAAGCTCTTTCAATATCGGCTAGGAATTCTTGCAAGGTGCTGTATCGTCCCGAATCAACGCGTGTTCGTACGGTGGATGTCTCCTGGTCGTTTGAAACCTTTGCGCGCTTCGTCCGCGGCTTGGTGGATGATACCGGAAGTGGGCAAGAAAGGAGCTGGAGTTCGGCATCGTGTCTGTCCAATGGTTAGCGAAAGGCTCTCCAAAGTTATATCCATCGAGTCCTCGATAGACTCACTTCGAGAGAAGTTCGACAAGATTTCGTAGATTCTCGTGGAGGTTTGTCTTGTCATGCGACGCAGAAGTATTGGTGTCGGAACCCGCTTTCTCTTCCTGCACAGATCGCTTCCTTTTCCCGGGGTCGCGGTCATATTCGATTCCGGGCGAGGCTCACCATTTGGAGCGGCGACCGGGGTTGTATTCCGAGATTCTTCGGCGCTCATCGTTGCGAAGTCGCGTCGGGGAGGTGGAAGTAGACAGGACTTTCTCTGACGCGGTCCCCTCCCAAAGGATGAGTTCGCGACAGTGACAACACGAAGTGACGAATCCCTTCAGCTGTGGAGAAGGGGTGAGGATGAGAGTGAAGGGGAAGGGATCTCCGAGTGAATAATTGACCCTAGACACAATGGACGAAACAAACAGTCGTCACCGAGTTGAAAGAGAAGTTAAGGCAAAAGGACCATTCGATCGAGCGAGACGAGAAATGAATTCATGCGCGCCTTCCCGAAAACCGCAGGTGATGTGCACGTGACCGCTTTGCCTTCCATTTCTGTTTCTGCGGGAGTTGCGGCCTCCATTTTCGACATTTTCTACCATTTCGACATCTTCGCAATTTGGCGCTGATCAGACCGTGGGAGCACTGCTGGAAACCGTGCTCCATGATTACATTCATGGATGTCATCCGCTCTCAATCGTGTCCGCGGCCTCTCGAGGGTATCCTCGCTGAGAGCTGCGCATCTGTTCGGTCATAGCTGGCGCGAGGTATTTTTTTTATATTCACCTCTGAACTCAATTTAAGAGGAATGGTAATGCTAATTTGACCTTCTTTTTAATCAAAATAATAGGATTATCACCGCAGCCTTCATCTTGTCGCGCGTGGATCTTATTGCTTCCAGCGGAATACCCACCGAGCAAGCAAACATTCATATGGAACGGAAGCTCCTCTTTCTTGCTCTGAACACCTCGCGACCAATATTCACCCCCCTGTCGATAATAATAACCACTCAAAAGACCGAACTGCCCCTCCAGCCCAGCCAACTTCACCGTCGACACTACAAAACACAAGCACGTTCGAGTCCCAACCAGAAGATTACCAACATACCAATACTCTCGACAATTTGAAATTAAAAACGAAACCGAGAGAAGAAAGAAAGCGAAAATCGAAACAAATCCCCACACCTTCCGAGTACCTCAGCAAAACCCTTCAAAAACATGTCTTCGAACAGGATGGACATTCGAGTCTCCGCACCTTTCACTATGGCACAAGACAAACACACGGTCGACCCCGGCAGATGATCTCTCTGCAGGCTACATTGGCCGAATATATACGATTGGTGGATCCGCTCGTCTCTGGCGCTCCCTCACACGCTACTCTATCCGAGGTACGCAATGACTTGGACATTGCGCTTGCGCATGTGTTTAAGCCAGAGAGCCATAAGTATCTCGCTGCGCGAGGCTACGACATTGAAGATGTGGTTTCTTGGGCGTGGATTATGAAGAGCCAGAATGCTCGCCAGGCGATTACCCGCATGTTTGCTCTGCAAGGCGACAGTATGCCCAAACAAATGGAGATTCCTGTATTCATTCCTTTGTTTTTATTGAAGGAGCATCACCTTGATGCGCAGTCATTTCGACTGCTTCTCGTGTATGCCTTGCACTTGATGAGTGGCCATCCACTCCCATCTGTCGACTCTCTGCATGGAGCTTCAGGAGATCTTGAAAAACCGGCTTCAAGCGAATACCACCCCCGCATTAAATTAGGGACCTGTGTGACACTTATCGATCGTTTGGTTCGACATGCGCGCCAGGTGTGGCCTCGCGCGCTTCCGACAATTGCCACCGTATTCTCCCGGTTTTTGACGAGATCACACACACAAAAGACCAAGAACTCTAATATGACTATGCAAAAGCTCAACCGTGGAAGTACAGAGAAGTTTAACACTTGCCTCTGGCTATTGTCAATGCCCACCAAGGTCAATCCTTTTCGCGCGGCCTCAATCCAGCAGCAAGCGCAATTTGAGCTTCTAAAGTCCATGGCATCTCACAAGCCAGTGCTTCCTCTCTCTCGAAAGGGCTACCAAGCTATAGTTGCAGTTCAACTAGCTCACAAAAAGACGCTTGCCGAGCGCCAATCGGCGGAATTAAAATCGCCATCGTGGCCTCCGTGGAAAGAGGAGAAATTGGGCATGGATGCACAGCGTGGGAATGAGGGGCTGCAAAGTCGCGCGATGAACGTCTTGTCTCAAATGACCGAGGCAGGCTACTCCCATCGAGTTTGGGAGAAGACCTCCACCATTTTGGCTGGTTGGGACACTGACCGCAGTCCAACCGTCCAAACAAGGACCTTGGTTCCTCGGTCGAGCTCTCTTTCCCGTGCTAGCGATGATGAGATCGATAAGTATGCTGTCGTTTGGGCAGCTCGAATTCGTGCAACTAGGACCATACGCGAAGCGTGGGCTTGCTTTTTAGCCTACCAAGATCAGGGCCTTCCTCCTAAACTCACCATCTACGCAGAGATGTGTACCAAGCTGATTTACCGCCAAATGGCAATCAAAGGGCGCGTTGATGGGATGGGACAGGCTTTGCCTGGCGATGGCCCCGAGGTTCATGCTGAACCTGCGTCCGCTCGTGACATCATTTACGTACATACAGAGCCGCCGACTGTGGAAGATTTGGTTCATGAAATGTTTTCTCATGAATTTCGACCGTCGGGTAGATTCTTAGCTCTTCTGCTTCGATCTGCTCCCACATTTCGCACGGGCATAGAATATTTGCGGCGCAGTGACCTCTCTGAGAAACAAATTGCGGCTCTGTGCGTCATCTGGGGTCACCCGTCGCAATGTCCGGCTCCTTATCTCAAGACTCTTGGTTCACTGCCAGACGCGGTGTTTGTCTCGTTTATCAAGTTTCTGTGCACTCGTTCCAAGTCAATTCGCATGAAAATGACTGGTCGTCATTCTCTCTCGCCCAACGATTTCCCTGCTATGACCGAGAACACCCAGACCCGCGAGCCCCTTGCTGCTCTCTCTGACTTCCAAGAAGACCTTGGACAGTGGCGGCACCCACGCGCTTTGTGGCATGCAGTTCAATTAGTCAAGTTGCGGCAACCGTACTGTCATTCTGCTTGGGTTCATCTTCTCGATGCCATGAGCACCGAGCGTGTGAACAAAAGGCATACAGACCGTACCCGCTGTTTGTACCGCATTATTGGATGGCATGAGACTCTTGCGGTATTACGTTTGATGAAGGCCCGGGGCGTGGATTCCGGATCGCAGGGGTTCAAGGCATTGTGTACCGCTTTCAAAAAGGCCGTCGACGCAGGAATTAGACATCCTGGGCTTGTGGAAGAGGCTTTGAGTTTGATCCACAAGGCGACCCAAGGCGATCCATACCTAAGCTCTGACCCAGACGCTTTCAACGATATGGTCGAAACTGGTCTTAAAACCCTCAAAGATGAATTTGAGTCTCTCGTCCTCCCAAATGCAGCCATGCCAGATCTCGCAGAACATAGCGTGTTTGTGGCGGAACAAACAGACCAATTCCAACCCAAAGTCCCGCTCGGCTTGCATGTCCCATCATTTGTGACGTTGCATAGTTTTGTCGGGGCTCTCGGGATAGCTGGAGACGACGATGGACTGTTGCATCTCCTGCACTGGATGAGTCGCTCGGTTTCTGAGCTCAGCGAAGCCTCTCAAGAGCGCCAAAACGGAAACAAAAACATGCGTCTTACCCTGGTGGCGACGCGGACTTACCTGGAGCAGTCACAGTCGCAATCAAAACTGCAGGAAGGATGCGATATTATCCAAAAAGCGGGTTGGGAATGGCCCACCGACGAGGAGGTCGAAGAATATAGTCGGGGATTGTACAAATAGTGTATTTTTAGCGTTAGAAATGATACCCCAGAGTTAGATATATCAATAATCAGGTGCAAGTTCAAGTTGAAATGTACTACTAGTAGTAACCTCCAGGGCTGGAAATAGGAAGAAAGGATTATCAAAGCAATATGTCCAAGATTCCAAGTAATAAAACCAATATTTACATGTTTAGATCTATAATCGTGCCCTTTCACGCCTCAGCATTTCCTTCTCCCCCTCTAATCGCCACTCTGCAGTTCGCCGCATCCTTGCTTCGACCTCTTCATCGTTTACATCGCTGACATCCTTAAGCGGAATTTCTCGGGTTGATTGCAGCTTAAAGGGGAGATAGGTGAGTTTGCCAGTTGGTTCAACGCGGCCAGCCCCGGCATTACGACAGAACTCTGACAACCCTTCGAAGAACCTTTTACCTGCTGCTGTAGACATCATTAAGAATCCATGACAGTGGGGCATACCCTCAAACTGCTCCGCAACAACAGATACACCCGCTTCGTGCATACGGCGAGCAGTTATCAGGCCATCATCTGCGAGACACTCCTCTCCAGTCGAAATGAATACCGGCGGGGCATTTTTCCAGAGATCCGGAGACGCAGCGAGAGGAGAAACGAGAGGATGCAGTACGGTCTTGGCGTTGACGTACAGATCGCTCCGTGGTGGAGAGACTGGCCATACGGCATCAGGCGGGAATGGAGCCGGGGCAAAGGGTGCAGACGCAGCTGCTTTATCGCCTTCAAAGGTAGGCAGGATAAGATAATCAAATTTGGCGTTTTGGACCGCAGATGGCATCGAGTGTGTAATATCGCACCACGGGGAGATAGTAGCCACACCTGCGGGTAACTCAACAAGTATTTCCTTGCCATGGAAATTGATTGAGCGGGAAGATCGTTGAAGAGTGAGTAGAGTCTGAAGCAGGACCAAGGATAGATTTCCGCCAGCGGAGTCGCCAGCGATGACAATCTTGTTGGCGGGTATCGGGTCGTGCAATGCCCCTGGTGGTGGGTGGATAAGTGATAGGTAGGCCGTCAGTGCATCGACCAGAGCAGCAGGGAATGGATTCTGTGGTGCGAGCCGATATCTGACTGAAAGCACTGGGGATCCAGTCCGACGTGACAGTTGCGAGACAGATACACGGTGGGTGCAGGGGTCCATCAAGCTGAGATCAAGATTAGCGATTTTGCCGTGAATTCTCTTCGGATCGTCAGGGATATCTCACAAGTAGGCACCTCCATGGAAATATAATACCGTTGTATCAGATGAGGCCTCTTTTCGTAGTTCGTGATACTTCTCCGTCTCTGAGATATCCGGTTGGGGCGCGTTCTTGTCCACTCCACTGCGATAACCAGTCCATTCAGCTTCCACGGGAGCTATGCCAGGTATATCAAAGGACTCATCGCCAGTCTTTAGCTCGTCAATGGCGTGCAGAACTGCATTTCGCACATCGATTTCGGGGCTGGGCAGGACGACTTTGGAAACCCAGATAGGGCCTTTGATCCCGGGGTCGCGCATGCTATTCTGCTGGGTCTTGGTGATAGAATTACTGAAAGTCATGAACGAGCGAATAATTGCGACTGTCAGCTCGGTGCGCAAGTCTTGCCGACCAGAGACGGGGACATGTGAATACCATGCTGGATGAGGGTTTTCAGTATCATCGGTACCCGGGCCAGCATCAGCTTCAGAAGGCCGATGCTCGGCGACAGCGTACTCATTTCGGATGAACAAGTTTGTAAATTGTCGTCCAGCTTCTAGGGTTGTGATGAGATGAAAAGGAGATCTAGATTGAAACCGGATTTGGTTCCTCTCTGCGTCCGTGCCGAGGTCCGCCCCCACAGTGATGAGATGATCCGCAGTCTGCCAGGCTGCCAGGCCCAATAGGCATTGCGGTCTCCAGGCCGGGGGCTTCCATGGCAATTCAGAGAATTAGGCTGCCAATACACAAAATGTTTTCTACCTATAGGCTATAAGAAGAGGCCGGACAATACATCATGACTGATCCAAAGTTGAAATTAATGTTGAATGCTACCCAGTATGAGATATTCTTTATGTTTTCTATACGCCTTGGTCAATGATGCATAACCAAAAAGTGGGACGTAGTTTCAAAACGCAACAAGATGCAGGTATGGAGCAATATAATGAAGAAGTGACAAACGCCATATATGAGTGAATCAAAACCGTACTCCCAAACCATCATGATTCAGAGGCCGTGGTGGCGAGCTTCCACTTCGCGGCCGCATTCTGTATGAATCTAAAGTTTGCTCCGGCGCCAGCGCCGGGGCATAGAAATGAACACCTTCCTGTATCAAAGGACCGGAAAGATTGCGATGATACATTTGGTACGTCGGGACATGTCGTGGAACTTGAAGTCGGGCATTCTCGTGCAATCGTTGGCGCGCCTCGCGGACATCAACGCGATGTCCCCTGTAGTGCAGGAGATGCGCAGGCTCGATATCGGGGTTCCAGCTCAGCTCCATGTCTTGTAGTCGCTCATCCACCGAGCCCAGGCGTTGGCTACGTGGCGGGGGATAAATACCATCTGACTGCAGAGCACTTCCCAGCTGAGACATATCATCTGCCCAGCTGGCTGTTCCGGTGACGGGTTGCGGCTGTGATTGGGGAACCATGGGTGATGCAGTTCGTGATATTTCACCTTGTTGCTGGAAACTTGGGTTCGGGGAGAATCGCGGTGGGTATCGGACAGGCTCGGTTGCCCAAGACTGATGTGATAATGTCGACGACCCACGAGAAAGGCCCTCTGGTCCGGCGTGGTCCGGGGCTCGTGGGATTATATTATCAGAAAATGCATGGGTGAGTGGCAGTGCTCCGGGCATAATCGCGGAAGGATGAGAAATTGGCGTAGGATTGGCAGGTGTAGATGCAACCGGACCCATTGGCATAGGTGGTCGATTTCTGTGGGATGACATGGTAACGCTGATGTCCTGGTCATATGGCAGAGGTGGAGGTGGGTATGGGATGAGAGATGGCGTGCTTGCAGACATATCCTGAAGATGGAGCGGGTAAGGGAGAATCGATGGAACACTCGATGATAGATCTCGCCGAGCAGGTTCAAAAGCAGTAGCTACTGATGACCGGCGAGAGTGGATTTGAGAGTTCGGTGCTGTGTGTAGACCACCTGGTCCTTCGAACCGTTGGCCATAAAAGTCAGTGCCGGATTCACTATAAGTTGAACGAGTGAGTGGCTCTGCTAGAATCTCACGGGAAGTTAACTCGTGAGCTAGCGGAGATGCAAAAATATGCCCTGTTTGGCCATCAAGTGACTCCACGGACGGCTTCATCTGGATACCAGAAATATGATCCATTCCACGAAGAGGGAGAGGTAACGATGCCGGACGTCGAAGTGGGACCTCTGCCTCAAGCCTGCGCCGGGCTGCCATATTTGCGTATGTTGGAACATTTTCCTGCATGGTGGACACTTGTACCGGAGATCGCTTTGGGGGCTCAGCAGTGGATTGCCCATCGCTCAATCGGCGGACTGCAGCCAATGCCTTCTCTGCGGCCGAAGCCAAAATTGTAGAACTGCCGCCATTATCTGGCGACACGCGACTTGAGGATCCTCTTCCGTGCACTTGTGAAATCTTTACCAGTGGAGCGGCCGGCCTAGCACCACGTAGCCGACGAGGGCCTCTATTTTTCCACCTTTGTTGTCTCTCTCGCGGTGTTTGAGCTTTAGTATGCCGGTCGACTACTTGCCAACCATGATCATCAGATGGAGCGGGAGCGGGTGGAGTTGATGCTCTCGGTGACGGCTTTGGTTTCTCAGTGCTCTGGCTCAATTGCGATAGGGATGGTGAAATCTGTATCGCCACTTGATTCTCTTGGTCCGTTTCGTAGCCATCCTCTGATTCGTAGCCTGCTTGTCTGAAGATATGAGGCGGGAAAAGTTCCAATCGAAAACGAGCATTGTTGCCTATCTCCTCGGGGGATTCCGCCCGAGCAGACCCTGATTCAGTCCAGTTCCATGTCGATCGACGCGACATACCCTCATCTGCAGATGATTCAGGGAATGATGACGATGAACTGCTTGAACGATCAAAGACCGACTTTTGATTGCGGTTAGACTCCTGGGAAGAGCTCGGGGACTTGCGTTCAATCTCATTGGTCAGGCTCTTCATCAGTTGTCGTAGATTCTCTCGCGCTTCTCGAACAACCGGGGGATATGCGCTCATCATGGCCTTTTTAGGAAAGAGTTCAACCAATCGAGATGCATGGGTTTGGTATTCTCGATAGTCGCGGACAAGTCCACAGTCGTGGTAGTGGGTCATTCTTTCTTTGGCCGTCTCATACGACTTGCATAAGAAACGAGTCGCCACAATCAGCCACGAGTTATAGAATCCAGGGTCTTGATTGCTCATGGTATTGTTATACTCCTCGTCTTTGATCCGCAGTTCATCCCGGCAGAATCCCTGCACCACACTGTGGATTTTGACCACATCAACAGGCATATTTCCACGGTAAATGGAGAAGAAACCTTCCTGGCTACTCTCTGTCATCGACCCTGTCAGCTCCGGGTACGAGTTTGTAGGTTTGTCGAGCTCATGAGTCAACTGCTGGTCAGATGCATTTTGCTGGAAGCTAGTCTCAATGTCCGATGTTCGCTCAATCAACCCGTAATGGATGAGGGTTCCAAGAGTAGTATCAAGGTCAGGCTCCTCGCCGGGTTGGGCGCTGCTTAGAATCTCTGCATTCTCAGTAGACATTTCATGTCTCCCGAGGTTAAGCAGGCCCACGGGAACATGGTGGCCGAGAAAAGCAAGTAAGTTAATAAGATTCAATGCCTGGGGTTGATTCAAGCGGAATAGATCATTCATGATGCTGAGGAATGGTTCCGCAAGCTTCTTATCTGTCACTTGGTGCTTGACGCGGTATCTCTCAATTGGCTTGCGAGTAGCATTGAGACGGTGACCGATGGCATGAATTGCTAACGGTAGACATTCGTAGTGCTCGACCAATTCAATACCCTTTGCAGCTTGCTCCTTCGTCGGCCTTTTGATACCGAGATCTCTGAAAAGGAGCTTACATGCATCATCCACATGCATTCGGGGCATTGACAGGCAATATGGCTCAAATAGGCGCTGCTTCTTTCGTAAGGTGGTATCGATGGAGGTGTAAATGATACAGCATCGCTTGTTCCAGGGAAGAAAAGGTCGAAACTCATTAATATCCTCATCGTGATCAAACGTTATACCGTCGAAAATCAATAGCCAGTCATGACACGTCTGCAGCCAATTTCTCACGGCAGTAACATAGCCTCGGGATTCCTGGTATTCCGGTTCAATGGTCTCTTTCTTGTCCATCAAGGTAGCAGCCTGGGCAATTTCCCAAAAGCATTTAGCGGTTGACTCGCGGGACTTTGCATCAATCCAAAATATTCCACCAGAATAGCACTCGCGCTGTGTAAAGGCATATTGACGTGCTAAGTGTGTCTTCCCGGATCCTGGGACCCCAGAGATGAGGACAGCCATGGTACGATCCGGCCGAGATTTGGCCTTGAACAAACGATTATGTAGGGTATCCAATTCTTTCTCCATTCCAAAAAAGGTTGCATTAGGATGAAACCCTGCAGGTGCCACAAAGATCGGCGGATCCTTGTTGGAATAGTGTGAGAGGGCCAAATCACCGTTGCTAACATCGGAAACAGGAGAATTGCGACCATCAGTGGCTGGTCCACGAGGAAGTGCAAGTACGGAGTGACCTATTGGAAGAAATAAACATCAGCTAAATCTGACTTCTGGATAAAGAATGAATTCAACAGATTGCATGGTATCAGCTAGACTGAGAAACGACAAAGACGGGAGCCACCCTGTGATCGGTCACGGTCTGTTAAGATACAAAAAGGGTGCTCATAAAATGGTGCAACAGAAGGAGGTTCTTCGAAGCATGGTCTCAAGTGAACAAGGACGAAGCAAATTGCAAGGTCATCTTAAGCATATCATTCTGGTCGACCAAACAAGATAACAAGTTCATCACATAGCCATAATTTGGTCTCAAACAGGGGGCTCCTCGACTTCATAATCTCTCAAGGTCACCGCTTCTTCTGGAGGGGGGAGTGCCCTACCAGTTGAATTCAAATCCGGCATGCTGTATCCGATCGGATCTTCTACTCTAGCTGCAACAGTCAATATCCAAAATAAAAGAGGGTAGTTGGGATATTTGGCTTACCGTCATAAATTTCCCTTGCCTTATGCTGCTTTTCAAGGGTGCGAGCCTTCTTTTCCTCGACCCAGCGATCGGCAATCACCGTAGGAGCTTGACGGGAATAGCGGAGAATCGCCTCCGCAACCACTTCATAGCCGGCGGCATTCTCGTCATCGAACTTGCACATGTGACTATGGTCTGCTTCAATACCCATCCGCTCCACACCTTCTAGATAAGGGGCAGCCGATGCCTCGTCGACGATAATTTCGCGAGTCCCACGAACGTCGGTGGAACGAGTCTCGTGGAAAAGGTAGATGTGGAAACGACTCATGATATCGGCGAATAAGCTGTTGATATGCTGTAGGGTTTCGTTGTTTGTCCGCAGGGCCTTGACAAGCTGTGGAGAGGATTCCATAAACTTCTTGGGCATAACAGCACTGCAGATGTTGTGCAGCAACAGGCCCCATTTGGCGATATCAGAGCCATTATGAGGAGTTCCCAGGAAGAGGATACCAAAAGTTGATACGTAGACGGAACGGAGGTGCTCGGTTTTCTCGTTGGAAAGACTACGGCTATAGATCAGGGCGCGTTTGACGACCAAACCACCAAGTGAGTGGCAGACAAAGATAATGGGGCGGTCGGAACAACTCCGAAGCTAGAACAGTACATTTATCAGTACCTAGGTATCGTCTGATACTTAACTAGGGAGGTATGTAGATAGTATCACGGATGGAAGTAACTTACGTTGCGATTGGCAGCCAGATTTGACGCGAGGGTCTCAGCATGGCTAACGATGGAATCTCGTGAAGCACCATCCGTGAATGCGGTTACGTTCGCGTTGTACCCATAGGTTAGAATACGGGGACGAAGAGAGGCGAGGACATCTGGCAATAGATCGACAGGCCAGTAGCAGTTGGTCGACTTGCTTGTCCAAGAATCATGTGGATGGCCATTTAGACCGTGGACGAAGACGATATCAACAGTGGGGGCCCCATCGCGGGGAACATAGACCTGCGTCAAGCCAAAGGGCTTGAACGGAGACGACTCGGACATGTGTAGTTGGGAGGATCTCAAGTTCTCAATCCAAGGCCATCATGCAGAGTCAAGTAGAAGGGATGTGGGAGCAAATCAGGGCGAGCCCCGCGATATATAAAGGTCTTGGGGGCTGATCTGCACCTGCAGGTGATCGTATTCAAGATTTCCCTAACATAGCTGTTCCCCCTGACCACGGCGGGTGACTAGCACTGGTACTGGCACCTTCAAGGCCGACTTGCCCCAGGTGCCCCGCTGGTGGGGCGTCTCAGCCTATAACCTTGAAGCCCTGTGTGATAGCCTCGTTGAACCCGATCGATTCAAGTTCTCTGTTCGCAACTCACAGCCCTGGAGGAGAGGTTGGCTCAATTCACCTAGGCTCAGGTTGTCCTGCAAGACGATTGATGCCATGACTCATGAACAGGCGGCCATTTTTCCCCTGAGCCGGGGTTCCTGCATTGCTATTTTGTGCCTCGCCCGTGGCGCAGTTCGCCCTTCGCCCTGAAGGGGCAACCGCAATGGTGATGGTGCCTGACGAAACTAAGAGAAATCGGAGAGGGCGGCAAAGGGTACAAAGGTACAAGGTACAAGGTACAAGGCACAAGCGTAAGGTACCCAGGGTAACCTCCATAGCCGCAATCGACCTAGGGTTTCTACCAGCGAAGCTATCCAGGCATTCTACCTATACAGACGGAACTGGGTAGGTTACTGAGTACATTACCTTTTTGTACGAGTATAATGCTATCTCCAGAAACACCGGGCACTGGGCGGGTAGTTGCATGCAGGAGATGCACCCGCTTTACGAGGCGGCGCTTCGGGGAATTCGATACGAGCTGCAGAACAAGCAACAACACCCCGCAACCCCTTTGATTGGTCGTTTTACCCTATCGTCCTCCTTTTTTTTTTCAATCCTCCATCTGAATGATGTACGGAGCAGGGTCAATATGGCAACAACTTCATTATGATAGACACGGCTTTACATACGCTGATAGTCTGATGTAGACTGCCATATCTCAGCTCGATACTATAGATGATGATTATTTCAGGCCAAAAGGCGCCAAGGACAGGATCTCCGAACTTCCCTGCCATGGTATTTCGTATTTCGTATTTCGACACCTTCCCAATCTATTGTCCTCGGAAAGCTGGCTTCCGCTTCTCTGCAAAAGCGCGCAGCGCCTCATACCGATCCTGTGTCTCAATAACCCCCTCATAGGCGGCATTTTCCGAAATCTCTCCCAAAGCAGCGCCTTGTACTGCAATCAGAGCATGTTTAATGGCAATCGGTCCTCCCTCACAAATATCCAGTGCCAGCTTGATACTCTCCCGGAGAACCTTCTCGCGCGCCACGCCCTCTTGGGTCGCCTCCTCGGGGAGCACCTCCACCAGTCGATCGCAGAGTCCCATGAAGTAGGCCTCGGGACCATACACCCGTCGGCCAGTCAAGATCATATCACGAGCACGAGGAATGCCAATCAAACCGGGCAGTCTGTAAGTACCGCCTGCGCCGGGAATGATAGCCAGGCGAGTCTCGGGGAGGCCGACGGTACTCGATGAACCGAAAACGCGGAGGTGGGTGCACAGTGCCAGCTCCAGGCCGCCGCCCAGGGCCATAGAGGAGATGGAGGAGATGGTGGGAATTTCGAGCTCGGCGAGGCTCTTGAAGGTGCTTCGGAGCTTGAGGAGGAAGTCTTCGACCCTATTTTTGATTGCGACGTGACCATCGGTTAGTCGGATGTCTTGAAGAATGGAAGAGAGCCACGTGAACAAGGGAGGTTTCTCACTCAGCAGGTGACATTGTAGCGCGCTCCTTCAAATCTGCACCGGCGCAGAATGCAGCGTCGACATTGCTACCAACGACCAGTGCCCGGGTTGGACCATTGCCCTTTTCCGCAGCGATGGAGTTCACCTGCGATGATAGGTTTTCGAGCAGCTCACGCGAGATCGCATTGCGGGCCTTGGGTCGGTTCAGTTGTAGAACGCGCACATGTCCAGATCCCGGGGCAGGGATTTGTTGGGTCAGAATGATATCGTCGGCGCTGCTGGTGCTATACCGCGAGACGAACAACCGGGTGAATGTCGCGGTTGGTCGTGAAAGGAGTGGGTTGGTGGTGAGACGGACGAGCCGCGGTGACAATGAGGTGGCCATCTTCAGATTCAATGAGGATCGAATGTGACACGACCACAAGAGTAGGTAAAGGTAGTACAGAGTACAGACAGGTGAAGAAGTCGGAATCGAACTTGAACTTGAACTTGAACTCGGGTGTGGGGAAGCTACACCGACGATGGCCGACGGTTGCCGGGCGGTCGGTCCGGCCCTTTGCGGCTACATTAGAAGAAGAGGCCGAGGCAGGGTATAGAGTCTAGTATTAAATTGAAGATATATCTAGTTACGGAAGGAACTGGATGGAAAATATGATGAATGATAGATATGGAAAAGCCCTCAGAGAAGTATCTAACACTAAAGAAGCCTGCCCGATTGTCAATATGTCAATATTACTTGGTACTACTAGTAGTACTAGTAACTAGTTATATTTAGCCTTCAGGAATGTCTTCTACGTCTTACCCCTTGTCGTATGGTACGCCAGATATTCTAATTAAATTATGAATATTCTTTGTGAAAACAAAGTGCTGTTTCTTTTGACCTTAGAGTACTCGAAACTTCCTGGCTTTGATTTTTCGAGTTCTTTGACACTCGACGTTTCTTTGAAGGGAGACGTTGGAGTGTAGGGTAGTATAACAGCCACTTGCCGGCAAACTGATTTTCTTTTCGTAAGAAGTACTTACTAGTATCATTCCTACTTTGACCTTTTATCTTTTTTTTTCTTATTTGACAAGTTACCCATCATGGAAAATCAGGCTGGCTTACCGGCCAATATTTCTCTCGAAGGGCGCACCATACAATCGATGGAGGAAGCATTTCAGATCCTACACGAATGTTCACGAGATGAGGTTTATCCCATAGCAATGCAGATGCAATCTGAGCTCATGGGGTTTATCGAGACCGGCGAGGACTATCTGTATAAGCTCCATGAATTTGTTGATAGAGGAGAGTTCTGGCGCGGTCATGAGCTGGACGAGGACAGCTTCCGATATAATTGGCGGGCAGCCAGGGATGCTATCGCTAATAGGACAAAGAGGCTGGAGTATATCGACAGTATTCGAGAAAAGGCTATCAAGACATGGGGAAGCGACCATGCTAAAGCCTTTTTCTTACGTGTGAAGACCCGCGCCATGGCAGAAAAAGTGAGCAGGCTATTGACAGCCAACCTCGAATATACGGCCATACGACTTATGATCAATAACGAGATTGTGAATCGTCTTTCTGCAAAATCACGAGGTATTAAAAAGGATAAAGCTGTAATGCAGGGGGATATTACTAAAGCTTTCTCTAACCGCTGTCAAAGGCCTCTTTCAGGAGAGAAACTTCAGGAGCTTGGTCTTGAGATTGATGATGATGGATACTGTTGTCGCGCTGGCAGTGGAAGGGCTCTTGTGAATGACTCCGAATCCGAAAGTGACAATGATTTATCAAACGACTTTGTTCAAGCATCATACGCCGAATCTTCAGACGAATTCCAACGCGAAGAGTCTCAAGATTCCATATCTAGAGAAAAATCAGAAATAGCAGCTAGAAAGGGAAAGAAGCGAAAGAGAAAAGATCCATCTCAGTGCGGCTGCCTGCTCCCTAATAGCACTCTTCGCCGTGTCTTTCATAATTCGGAACCCGAAATGAAATGTCAGAAGGCCTTGCGCAAAGTTGGACGCAAGATATACAAAATCCACGACAAAATCGACACCAATACCATTTGCCCAAGCCATAGTCGACAGCTTTGTAACATGCTAGGAATGTCAGTCAATACTACACATAGAGAACGAGCGGATCGTCTCGATAAACTGTATCATGGACTTGGTGCCTGGGAAGGCACTCGCGCTCGATATTCCGACTGGTTTCAACGGACCCAGCCGAGCGAAATCCCCGTCAATATGTTCCGTTTCCAGGAGAAGAACATCCGACCAATCGTCGAAAATTGGGATAGCCTCGAGTATCTCACGTTTCAGAGTCTTTATCGACGATGTTTTGGTAAAAACCAGCTACCAGCTCTTAAGCAAACAGATAATCATATGCGAGTGAACGGAAGTGTGGTCATTCCAGGATTTTTCGGTTGGCTCAAGTACGATTTCGATGGCATGCATCCTGGAGGTATTCTTCGACTGGCTCTACAAGAATTCGCCATGTATGACTGGCATTTTCGCCCTCGCACAGATCATCCGCGACTTGGATGGGCAACAAACATGTGGTATAGTTTGATCCAACAATTAGTGCGGCAAGATATAGTCTACTGGATGTGGCATGTCTACTTCCGCCCTGACCATATGTGGCGTTTGATCTCTGTACCTCATTGTTCCCAGAGTGCCTATCCTAGAGAAGGAACATGCTTCCAACAGCTCGATATAAATGTACGTGACTTTGTGAATACTGGCTACGGCAAGAGCTTTTTACAGGGCTCTGTGTTTCTCAACGACGAAGATGAGCAAAATTGTGACGAATTATTACTCGGTATGAACCGTCATCTGGAGTCTTGGTGGAACGATTTATCTTCTCGTGGTCTGGTAGGGATGGTAATCTTCAGCAAATCATCTCTGAAATGTGGACATCAAAAGATGTAGAGAAATACAGCATTGATTGGGTTAAGCAAGTCTGTCAAGCTACAGATGTGCGTTTCAGCCTTCCAAGTCTTCCACATAAATCTACAGACCAGACAACAGCTCAACGACACACCATTTCAGCATGTTACGTCGGGATAAACAATGATCATTCCGGCTTAGATCTTGCCGAATCGGGCATCTGGGAGGAATTATCCCGGAGTCATCGTGACTTTATACTAGTTGATAAAACATTAGAAGATCAAACAAATGATGGAAGTGATGAGAAGATGCAATATATCTTTCCAGGTATTTTCAGGTTGGGCGGTCTTGGTGCTATCTCGGATGCGCTTGTCGGGAGGGAAAGATGGAATAATACAGAAACTATTCAGATGGTGAACCTATTGTTCGGGTCAGATGAGAGTGTGGCTTGGAAGTATATACAGGACTGGAGAGAAAATGCCTTTGCACAATACGTAACGGCGTTTGATCGAATGGTCGAAGCTGAGAAGGTTACGTACGGAGAAAATTCGTATTTCAATCGTGTTGAAGCAAAATTAAGTACCCAACCAGCATTTGTGCAAGGCAGGAACTTTGATGATGAAATGGTACATCCTAGCATTGAGTGAGCAAACTTAGGTAGAGCTAGATTACTTGTCTTTGGAGCGAAGTTATCGAGTTTGTTGGTTTTAATCTACACTTTGAATCAGCATGCATACTACCATCGTATTACAGTACTACGTCGAATGACAAATAGGGCAAGGGAGAAAGTAGACCAAGAATGATCCAAAGACATGCTGAAATTCATGTAAAGCCCGGCTGCGGAGGTAGCCAAATGAAATCTATGCGCTGGGTATTGAAGAAGTCCCATCCCGAATGTACTAAGAGAAACAGACCAGTGAGAATGGCAACTGTTATTGTTGCGGCATTTCGAGACCTTCCATACCACCTAGATCGTCCCAGAAGTCACTAAAGCTCACATTCTCCTGCTCAAACATCTGTTGGACCTGGACCATCGCAGATTGTTGCCTCTCGGGAGTGAAACCGCCCGGCTGGGAGCTTTCCCATTGAACCAACTCCACCCAGCGGTAGAAGAGATCCTCCTTACCCAGAGCAGCGAGTTTCTCTTTGAAGGTAAGGACTTGGTCTCGATGCGCATTGCGCTCACGACCAGCGGGGGTATTCTCATCCGCAACACGCCAGACCAGCCAACCATCTGTGTCTGTGTAAACCAGCACGGCCGTGCGGAACTCGTCGAGCTGAACGCCATCGCCCTTGCGAGTCAGATCGACCAGCGAGTGGGCACATATCATAGCTTCATAATCCAGGACCCAGTCCTCGTCAATAAGCAGGTAACCAGTCTTTCCAATGCGCTCCGGTGTAACAGCGGCGACAATCTTGTCACGCATAGCCTCATCATGGCGAATCCACTTGTTGCGCTCCAGCTTTTGGCTCCAGCTGCGGCTACTTCTGCGAACAATGATTTCGCGATCTCGGAACCCGACTGCACGGCGCCAGCGCACGGGGCCCATGACGAAGTCGTATGGCCAGGACAGGAACAGTGTCACGAGGAAGTAGTCGATCAAGATCGTACCCGTCCGCCGGAGGATGGCCTGTGCGATCTCGAACCAAGAAGATGTAGAGGTGTCAAAGCTCAAGGAGCTCTCCATTCCGATGAATATAGCTATAAGAGCTGGGTAGGTGCTAAAGCCCCAGTAAACTCGCAAGGCTATCACTGCAGCCACCACGGTGTTCACCACGGACGGTACCAGGAATGTTTGCCATTTCAAGTCCGTCGCAGTTGTATCGATATGTACCAGGTACACTTCGTCGGGAGAGAGCTTTTCAACAAAGGGTTTTAGGATCGTAGGGACTTTGGTGAACGGCGGGATAGGTCCAGACGTGGAGCTTGGAGTCGATGCGCCCGACGAGCCTGGCGACGAGGCGGGTGTCTTCCGACGCGATGATTTCGCCATTCCGGGGGGTTTGTAGGCTTGCTAGGAAAAGTATCGTGTCGTGTGTCAAAACGAAACGGTTGGGGGGTTTGTTGCACTGCTAGGGTTTCCTAGCACCTTGAGATCGATTATTTGTATTGAGGGCGCGTCGCGGGTGGGTGGGTGGGAGATGATCAGAGCAAGTGAGCCGGTCACATGGGGGGGTTTTTTGCGTCCAAGTCAGTGAACAACGGGAAGTGCTCGCATGATTCGAGAAAATAGAGTGGGATGAGAGGCGTTGGCGCCCAGTGGAGCGTGTTGTGTGGCTGTGGCGAAGGAAGCATTCAACTGGCGAGGAGCGACTGGAGCAACTGGGATCTTCCCTTAACGTTAACCCCTTTGGGAATGCGGAGCGCGGAGCTCTATTTACTTTACTCTGAGTATCTTAGTACTTCACTCTCACTCTTACTTTGACTCTCGATATATCCACACCCCTCCCACCCGCGCAAGGGGTTTTGTCTTGTCGACGCGATGTCAACTCCTCGCAAGACTGACCGGGTCTCTCTCGCGCGTCATCATCATCCCCAATCACCTTTTGGTCGCGCCGACGATCCAAGCCACGAATTCGAATTCGAGACCAACCTCGCCCTCTCTCCCCCCACCAAACAAAATGGGACGCGTCCTCGACACAACTATCGCACTGGAACTCTAGCGGGGGCCTATCGAGCGATCTCACGAACAAGCATGTCGGAAGAAGGCGTTCATCTGGGTTCAACTCCCAGTCCGCGACAACCTTGGAATCGCATCGATAAGCAGTCGCCAACCTCTGACATTTCAAACCCACCCGAGGAACTCGTCGATGCCTACAAGAGAATTGAGGAAGATGGAACATTGGCCGATTATGTGCAGTGGGATGATCCGGAAGTTTCATCCAGAAAGAATTCCCCAGGTCGTCTCAGTCGCTCATCGTCCAAACAACGAGGACGAGAATACGATGGCGGATCCCGCGATGGGCGAGCTTTTTCCGAGGGAGGACTATTCGATGGAATTGGTCACAACTCACCTCGGCGTACAACCGATTACTCGCGAGATGAGCAGCGCCTCAGACGAGTCACGGGCAAAGATTCCCCGGTTTTCAGCAAGGCCAAGACCACCAGTCACTCGGCTTTAACAGCGGACAACCTACAGCGACGTGAGAAGGAAGAGCGGCCTTGGGAACAAGACAATAATCGATATCACCAAGACCAGCAAACATCGGATTACGAAGGTGACCGTGGTCCATCACTCAACCTACCACGTACCTGGGGCAGCCGCGCCGCACGCAGGCAGGAATGGCTACGTAATGTCAGTGGAAGCTCTGGCTCGGAACCTCCAGAGAATGGGAATCGTGACATTTCCGACGAAGCCCCAGCGCCCAAGACGAACACGAATGAGAACCAAAGTTCCAGACCTATCCGTTCATCTTCTCACATAGACCGGGCTAGCGCTTCTAACCGGGGTGCCCTCGAAGAACGTGTCGCCAATCTTCGTACGCAAAATGTGCAGGACACAAAAGATCAAGCGGGACTTGGGTTGGATCAACATTCGCTTCAAACTGATGGTGCCGCTATTCCTAATACACCGATCGTGGTCTACAAGAACTCGAACATGACTAGACCAAGCACAACAAAACGAGATTCTCAAGAACTTCTCCGAAAGCTCTCGAGGACTGAAAGCCCGAAGATGGACCAGATCCAGACCCCAGACCCGCCAAAGCTATTTGAAAGAAAATTTTACGATAAGACTCCCAGGGTGACCGGTGCATGGGTCGATACACCCATGACTGAACGAGCTGTCGATATCCCGAGTGACTTGACTAAGGATATAGTGGCCCCTCCGGCACCCCCCAATGCAAAGGAGGAATCCGCTTCAGCCCTAAAACCAGCAGCAGATGTTAAACCTGCGGCCGGGCAGAAAGATTCTAAATTGAGTGAGGACAAAAAAAAATTCCCCCCGAGCCAATTATTGCCAAGCAATCGAAGCCTAGGCCTCCTCTTGCTCGGCCAAAGTTGCCAAAAAGTGCCCTTGAAACTGTCATCGAGGATGCCAGCTCCGGTAAAGAAGCTCTTAATATGGGTGACGATACCATCGAATCTCTCCAAGCCATTTTGGATGATCCGACTGATCTGAAGATCGAGGAAGACGAGGATGCCGCTTATAAACATGTGCTCGATCGACTCGGGCTATTACGTCAAAATAGCGAAGGCTCTGATGATTACGACCGAATAGATACCAAGTTGCAATCGTTAGCACAACACATCACGGAAGTGAAGAAGGGTCTGGACCGCTTGCAAGGACATGTCGCCAACGGATTTGAGGATTTGGATGCTAAGAATGGAACCACCAAGACACCGCCCCCTATTTCAACACCGACTTCAAGCGAGTCCTGCAAAACCTGCAGTACGCCTTCGGATACCCGTCTCTATGCTGCTATCCCTCTCCCTCGATTATGGGAACAAAACCTCACATCCCGACGTCTACAACTTACCAAACTCGGCTGGACCACACTTATCTTTACGATGTGGTATATCATCGAATGCACAATGACAGAGATGTACTCTCATCCCCTCATCTCCGATACTTGCACGGGTTATTGTCTCCGTCCTGACGCACCTGTCTTCCCCTTTGTGACCGTGACGATGTTGTGGCGCTGGTCTCATTTGTCGACTGTCTTAGGACCGATTATTACTCTCGGCGTAGCTCTCTTCCGCCTCGTGGCGCAGCTACTGGGATTATGGGATGGCTATGTGGACGAGCCAGCCAGTTTGGCAAATCTTGTTGGCGAGATTCGTATCAACGGAACTCCAGTCGCGTTCCCTTGGTTGACACCGCCGTCCAAGACGCAGGGATTCTCGCCGTCCTCTGTTTTACCTCCTCCGCCACCACCCCCACGACCCGAGTGGACTCCGCGTCACGACGCTCCGACCCAGGCGGGGGATGATCAGGCCTCTATGGACGATGATGAATATCTTTGACTTGGAGGAAAGGCAAGGCAAAACATTTCACGAAGGCGTTTGATGGACTCGTTTGGGTATTTCAAGGAAAGGCGTTGCTTGTGACAGAGAATTAAGGGCGAGCTAGTTTTTAGGATACCCAAGGTTTCAACAATTGATATTCCATTATTTGATCTAGTCTATTGTGTAGAATATCTGAAGTTATCAATGATCCATTGTATTGCGGCTGTGTCCCATTGTGGCTGAGCAAGTCATGGGCATAGACCCATAGACCCTTTGCCAACTTTCGGCCCCACGACCTAACACTATTCAGTACTAGTTATCTGTTCAACGCCCTGGGCTCGGTCCTCTCGCCGTTTAAGTTGTTTTTGAGGCTGGCAGTGTCGTCATGGGGAAATTTGACCCCATTGTAACCTTGGAAGATTATAACTACGGATGCCCCCGAGTAGACCGTCAATACTACTCCTAGTAGTACTGCCAGTGGTATCTGTCATTTACACTCAACTCAAAATGAACGCTAAGTCAATATATGCGGGGGACGCTAGCTCTATCTATGCGACCAATACTATGTTCCCAAAAGACATCGCCCTCCAAGACGATCTAAAATTTGACGTTGCCGCGCCCGCAGGATGGGAATACGCGCCTGGCGACACTATAATAGGGCATTTGATGCGGAAGAGCCCACTGGTCACTCCTGAATGCACAGTGAGTGTCTGGCTCGCAGGTAGGAGGATTCGGGGAGATCCGGTGAATCTAATCTAGTCTTATTCTGACCATGAGGATTAGGGCGTGTTAGAACGAAGATTTGGCGAGACAAAGACTCACGATATGGCCCTGATGTTTACGGTGATCATTGGAATCTCTTCCATGGTGCGCAAGATGTTGTTCACGATGGACCGCTGCACCACCTGGAGAATAGTGACGAGCCTCTGAGCTGGCCTATCGCGGTCCAAATCCCCACCCTGCCTTCACCATCAGTAGGAAAAGGTCACATCGATGCAACGAGCTTCACATCCCTGGAGAAGCCTTCTCCATCTTTGCCTGGAACATTCACTGCACATGGGAGTGACTTTCCCAACAGATCAGAGGGCGTGGTCGAATATGCGATCAACGCTCGTTTGAACTACATTCACCGAGGAGCCCGCAGAGTCTTCTATACAACCTTGCTAATCACGCTTAGACATCCTCTGGACTCGGGCGCTCGTCTGGGTGAGACAAAAGAATGCCACATATATCATCCACTGAAGATCCAAAGCCAGCGCCTGCTACCGGGAATGGAAGATGTGGAGCTATCTCTTGGGCAAAAGACTCGGAAGCTCTTTCATTCCACCAAAGTACCTGAATTTTGGTATGAAATTACCATGGGAATGCCAACAGCGATCCAACTCAACAGCTCTGAGCCTTTCCCTCTTGTTTTCACTTTTCTTCCCCGTGATGATAAAACCAGTGGAAGCATTAAGAACCATCCACAGAAAATCCACATCAAATGGGTTAATCTGCGCCTCCACTGTACGACTGCTGTAATGGCAGCGAGTAATTTGCGAGAAAATTACGCACAGACAGACCAGCAGATATATGAGGTGAATTTACATCTACAAAAGGTCTTTGACGAGCTCGGAACTTCGCTTGTGATAAGCTCCACGGGAAAAGGAAACGAGCCTATTAATTTAGGCAACATGTTCCAGCTTAACTTGAGATCTGATGGGTTGTATACTGCAGGTAAACGCCTGGTTCGTTGGCCCAGTATCAACAGTATCTACCCCGATTTTACAGCATATGGTATCAAACATACCCATTCGCTGGAACCATCTGTCAGTCTTTCGATCGCAGGGGAGGAAAAGACCGTCAAATTTAAGCCCCAGAATCTGCAGATTATAGGAGCTGCCTGATTCGTTGCTTCATGTGTAAATGTGTCATGTGTAAATAATCATCTATATCTCGTTCATATAAGTAGTGGGTGGGTGACACTACAGATTTCTCCTGACGATTTCACGATCGAAGGCACGGCTGATTGAGTCCATCGATAGGACCTTTGAATTAGAGAAAAGAAACAATTTTGAAACCCCGATCAAGTAAGCAAGGAAGATGGAAGGAGAAAAATGAGCGGTCAAACGAATAGTAGTAAGGGCTTCAGCTCTGATATTGTCCTCAAAGCATCCCGAAGAAAATCAATGGATTCAGAATATTGCAGGCGCAGTCCGGCATGAATCTACATGGAATAAACAATGTCCAGAAGAGAAGTGTTTCAATAATGTACATAAATGATCACATTGAAGAATAGCTGGTCATGGAGAAGCGCCTCTCATAATTCCAACTCACGCCTGCAAGGAGTTCCGTGTCTGCAAGGGATGTCTATATATGGGACGGCCTGGGGTTATCGTTATAAAAAAGAGGGTCGAGCTAACCCTGCGTTTTATGAATTGCTTTGCGACAGACAAAATCGATCACTCAATAAACGCATTGTTTCAATGAAACCCGCGAAACACAGCCCGTCGAACCAAAAACCTGCAATCATGGGAGCGTACCAGCCACAGCCACAGCCACGCCAATACTGGCTTCTGACCTATCCACGCACGAGCTCAAATTTGTTAGTCAAAATTTTGGGTCTGGATGAGCAACCAAATATTATGCAAGGCCATCTGCAAGCTGGCTATTACTTCTTGCCGTTACTCAAATTGATGAATGGGTTGAATCTTCTCGGCCGAGGCGTGCAGGAATGGACCGAAAACGAAAGGAAACAAATGAAGGAATGTTATCAGAGCTGTTTCAATACATTAAATCAGCATCTCGAAGATGCGAAGAAGAAAAATTGCTCATTTTTCGTGAAGGAACATTGCAATCTTATGGCCCACCCTGTCGCTATCACAAAAGAGCTTAGTGGCGTCACTGTGGACGAGGCGCCGTGGATGGTAGATTTTCCTAAGATATTCGGTCAGCTCCCAACACGCTCAACGACGAATGAAACAGTGCTCCCGGACGGGTTTCTTCGCCAATGGTCACCTACCTTCCTCATCCGGCACCCTGCATTGGCTTTTCCATCTTGCTATCGCGCCTCTATGGATTTAAACAAAGCAGACGGAGACGCAATTGATGGCAACCGAGGCACATTAGGCATGACTCTACGTTGGTCCCGACTTCTGTATGAATGGTACAGTGAAAACCTAACAGCCCAGGAGGCCTTCATTGACGGGGATGCTACCTGGCCACTCGTTCTGGATGGGGACGACGTGATGACCAACCAAGATATTGCCCTTCGATTCGGCGAAATACTTCAACTTGACATGAAAAAGATGCGTTTTTCATGGGAGCCCGTGCCGGAGAAAGAGCAGGCTGAAATGGATATGCGGTTGAAACGATTTTTATCGACATTGCTTGGTTCGGAGGGTATCGTCAAGGGCAAGACTGCAGAAAATCTGGATATAGAGATTGAGGCAAAGAAATGGCAGAAAGAATTTGGAGAGAAGGTGGCTATCCGGCTGGAGGAGTTGGTAAGAGCTGCCATGCCAGACTACGAGTTCCTGTATGCGAGGAAGCTCAAGGCAAAAAATACTAGTAGTCCATTGGCTGTCTGATGGAAGAGTTGAAGTTCGTGCTAGTTTACGTGCTATTATATATAAAATAGAGAGTCCACTGATCTCTGCTTCAGTTTGAATCGAATCTCCCAGTATTTTATAATGTACTTACTCGAGGGCTATATAGTAATATATTGTGGCCTCAGGCCTCAATATAATCTCACCCCGCCGGGCCCGCCTGACTCACGGCCGGTCCCTTGCGAGGGGCAGAATTTCCCCGATTATCCCGTGCAGCGATCGCAAGACTCACCAGCAGAGTAGTATGAACTCCATGCCTTTTGGAAATCCAATCCCGAGCTAACTTGTTTTACATAGTCTTGGATTAATTCCCACCATGGCGAACGAAGCAGGTCAACCCCCCGCGCTCGACAATCTCAGTCTCGCCGATAAGGCCCCCTCCTCAAAGGCCACCGCACAGGTCATCACTCCATTCGATGTCTCTGGCGGAGTTGATGAGTCTGGAAAACTCCTCCCAGTCGATTATGAAAAACTTACTCGCGAATTCGGCGCTACTCCCATCACCCCCGATCTACTCGAGCGCTTTGAGAGGGTTACGGGACATCGCCCACACCGATTTATGCGCCGCGGAATTGTCTTCAGTCACCGTGACCTGACCAAGATCTTGGACCTTCATGAAAAGGGGAAGGAATTCTATCTCTACACGGGACGTGGACCCAGCAGTGATAGCATGCACGTTGGACACACTGTCCCGTTCGAGTTTACAAAGTAAGACCCGCGGTCTGTTCTTTGCAAATGCTCTAGACGTGAATTGCTAACATATTCCTCCCAATACAGGTGGCTCCAGGATGTTTTTGATGTTCCCCTCGTTATCATGTTGACCGATGACGAGAAATACATGCACTCCCAGAAAATCAAGGATGTGGAAGACGCCAAGAACTTTGCTAAGTCGAACGTCAAGGATATCATTGCTGTCGGATTTGACATGAAGAAGACTTTCATCTTCAGTGACTTCGAGTTCGTTGGAGGCGCATTCTACGAGAACATTTGCCGAATGGCGAAGCGCATCACAATCAATCAAGTGCGGGGTACATTTGGATTCAACGACAGCAACAACATTGGTGAATTTCACTTCTGCGCGACCCAATCCGCCACTGCCTTTGCAACTAGTTTCCCTCATATCTTCGGCACCGACAAGAAGAAGGTCTCCTCCATTCCTTGCCTCATCCCATGCGCCATTGACCAGGACCCGTACTTCCGTCAATGTCGTGAGCACGCAGAGAAGATGAAGTACAAGAAGCCCTCGCTCATTCACTCCATCTTCCTGCCGGCCCTTCAGGGCCCTGGATCAAAAATGTCGGCTAGTGTCGACTCCTCTGCCATTTTCATGAGCGACACACCCAAGCAGATCAAGACCAAGATCAACAAGTTCGCCTTCTCTGGAGGCAAGGAAACCGCCGAAGAGCACCGCGAGTTGGGTGGCGATACCAA